GACTGCATCCGATAGTCCAGCTCTGATCCTCTCTTCTGTAGGGTGCATTATTTCCCCATATACTTTATTTATGTGTGAAAAGAATGGCGTGCTTTTGACTTTTATGGGATCCTTTGGCAAAAGCTCAGGCATTCTGTTGTGTGGTATTGAAGCTGTGTAGGTACTGGTGGTACAGAGCACAGTGTGTTGCCCACTTTGTGGGCACATGTCTCCAAATGAAGGAGGATATTTTTGTAGAAGTTACTTTTGTGATGAGCAAGAATTGCAGTAAGAGAATTTCCCTAGTATTGCATGTAAGAGCCATTGGCTTTGCTCTGGTATGACTGGTAACTCCTGTTTGCTCAGTCATTCTGGAGAATAAATGTGCAACTTCAGTTCATGCACACTTAATTAAATTCCAATTCCTCCCATTTGCTCATAACTTGCACTGTGTGAAAGGTGGTTTTTGCTTTGTCCTGGACTTTTCTTCTTTGATAGTCCTAGCACATACAGTGTGATGGATGAACTGAAGCTAGGAAACTATGTGGAATATTTCTACTATTTTGCTGCTTTTTTCGATTTAGAAAAATAATGTGTTACTGCTTTATGTTAAAGAAAAGAGTAGATAAAAGGCTCGATTTGTCAATGTTATATATTTGGGTGTAAGTTATGCTTTTTCTAGCATCTTCATTATAATAATGATTGTTTGTCTGTATTGAGTGCTGTAATTCATGGTGGATAGTGTTTCTCCCATTCCTGGGACAGCCCTACGGCTTACATGCATACTGTGTATGCGTCTCTGTGTTTGTAGAGAGAAATAAAATGCATTTGTGTGCAACTTTTCTCTGGGTTCTCTGTGGGATGTGTAACCATTTGGTCCCTGGAAAGCACTCACATGTCAGTCTTCAAAGAAGGGGTGTTTTTTAAAGTTAAAGGAGCTCCTGTTCATGTCTACTCTATATATTCACATTTCTGCCTTACACCTTTACCCCCATGAGGTAAGCAATTGTTACTTATGCATTCTCTTACCTGAATCGCATGGAGCTCCTCCTTAGGCTCTGCCTCTCCCAAAACCTCACCTGAGTGGTCCAGCCTTAAACTTGGCCATCTGGCCCCCTGCTGGCAGCAGCTGGGATCTGAGTGTCCTGCAGTTTTTTCACCTGACGCTGACAGGATACAGCCTTGATCACATCAGTGCTGCGTGTCCTCTAATGTCTTCTCATTTTTTCTCAGAGTGCTCAGAATGTGGAATACAGGTGCTTCTGAAGCAGCAATGTGGTTCACAATGGGAAACATCCACAGGCAGCCCTGCATCTGCCAAACTGCTTAGTGCCCAATTGCATTCTGTGGCAAAATACTGATCAATAGTGATCATGGTAATAAGGCTATGCTTATGCAAGCACTGTTTTTAGGTAATGAAGTAGATGTGGTAGTTCTGCAGCCTGATTGTTTTGGCTGGAAATCCATAATCCAGTTATGCTAGCAAGAAATCTCACATCCCCTGCCTGTGCAGGCCTTCAGTTGTTATGACCAGGGATGGTTTGTTCTGCCACACGTTATCACTACTTTATCCTGCCTATGCTTTTTAGCACTGTAGGGGATGCAGAGGCTGTGGCAGGGGTTACTGCCAAGTGTATTCCCCTCACTCTCTTACTCTGGAGCTCTTGGCAGTAGCTTTGTAAAGAGAGACCTTAGTTCCAGCCCTGCATGTGGTGTTCCTGTGATGTAAATAGAACCAGAAATGGTGGCAGAAGGGATTAGCTTGCAATGCAGAAAGCTTTCTATGTAAATTTCTGTAGTCGTGCATAGCTATTGTCGGAGTATTTATTATGCAGAAGGCTTTATTGCAAAACCCTCTCCAGTCAGCCAGCGCTGTCGGATGGTAGCACGAATGTGGAGCTTCAGGTCCTCGGGCAGCTTGCCGGTGTTGCAACGTTTGGCCACCAGGGGGCGCAGCGCTCACGGAAAGCCCTGCATGGGGAGCCTGGAGTCCTCGAGGGGTTCTGCGAGGTGCCGGTGCGTCTGCCTGCGTTTGTTCCGTTTTGATGATCGGATGTCAGCCAGTGCTAGAAAGTCTTTTCCAGCTCCCAGTTTCTGTGTATCACACTGTAATTGTATGCGAATAAGGAAAGTTTGGATCTGATCTTGTACCTATTGGGCACAAAACATTTCCAGCACGACACGCAAAGCTTCAGACAGCTCGTACCAGCGATGTACGTGGAGTCTGAAAGCGCTTGCAGACGTGCAACGTGTCTTTCGGGCTGTTGGAGCTGGAGCCTCGTTTGCCACCAGGTGGCAGCATGGGAGAAGGGAAAACATTTTCCTACAATGGAAAACACGGGATTGGAATTTTTGTAGATGTGTAACAAAACTGCTCTGATGCTTAAATACCCAGGAATATAAAATGGAATCAGCTCTGCAGCTAAACACCCTTGTGAAGATTTTCCCCATTAGGATGATGTAATTTCTGCACAGTTTCTGCCCAGTTGTGTATGTTTGTCCACTAGCTTAGCTTTGCTTGAGATGCTGTGGTTGGGGAGAGGGGTGTTAGAGGTGGCTGCAGTGGGGCTGCAGAGGACAGACACGAACATGTTGCACATGGCCTAGCCTGGAAACAGCTACAAATGATAAAAGCAATGCTGGGTGTGAGTGGCTGGCAGGTCCTATAGGTTTGAGAGGGGCAAATATGTGGGAAAGCACTTTGTGTCTGAAAGCTCTATGGGTTAAAACAGGCATCTTGTTGCTTCCTAGAGTGTGTGAACTCCATTTCAGTAGTGAAAGCTCTGGGACACTGGGCATTTCTTTAAAAAATATATAATAGCCCTTGTTTTTAGAACAATTTTGTTCTTAACAATAAATACATTACTTCTCTGGGCAGGTAGAGAAAAAAAGATGATCACACTCAAGGCTTCCCAGGTGACCATGTTCCTCTGAAAACAACTGAAAAGTCATCACAGCTCTGCATGTGCTGAAGAAAGCATGAAACCTCAGGTAGGAGCATGCGTCCCTCAGTCAGGGTTGGCTGGGCCATGCTGTCTCCTTGCTCTTTTTGGTTTACACTGTTGCTTATGTTGTGTAACACTGTATGAATGATGACTAGATTTTTTGTGTGCGTGTGTTTTTGTTGTTTTTTTTCCCCCAAACTTGTCTCGAGGCTGCCAGCCAGACACTACCTCAGCCTTGTGTTCAGTCTTATCTGTCCAAAATACTGTGGTATGCCAGGCTTCAGATTGTGAGGAGTTGTTGAGACTGCTGAAGCAATGCTCTCCAAACTTAGAAGAGAAAAATAGCAGCTTGTTAGATTTTGGGTACACGTTCTGTATTACCCTTTTGAAAGACATTCTTTGCACATGATTCTGTACTGTATTCTGCTGCCTGCACATGATTATATTCCATGAAAAAGAAGCACAGAGGTCAGTAGGTAGTGCCATTCTCTAGTTGGCTTACAGTTACTCTGAGCTTACATCTGTTCTTGTGCCATGAAGGTCACTGGTAGCTCTCAGGATATGGAGGCTGTAACTAGTGAGGGTGTGACTGCAATAGGGCACGTGTGCTCTGTAATGGGAAGTCGTAGCTTATGCACTTGGGTTGTGCTGGCAAAGGCACAAATTGACAGATGGAAAGATTCTTCTGCAGGTGGGAGGCATAATAAACGTACATGAAAAAATATAGTAACTTCCATGTGCTGAAATAATAATTTGGAATGAAGCCTCCCAGGCATATTTTAATTATCCCTTCAGCACTTGCATGTGCCAGAACTTCTAATGGCATATCTCCAGAGCTTAATGATTTTGCAGAGTAATTAAATTGTCAGCCACGTGAACCTCCTCCACCTGACCTCTGCACGGTTGTATGCTGTTTCCCTTGCTTGGCATATATATATGGTTGTCATTTGCCTGAGTTTCTCAGTAGGAAACAACTTCCTAGCAATCAGTATCAGACAGTTTCATAGTCCCTCTGCTAAGACTTAAGTGAATGAATATAAAACAATTCTCTAGGCCAAAACTGCTGTATGAATGTAGTAACAAATGACAGTAGCTTGTACTTTCACATAACAATTACATGCAAATCTGGCTAGCCCCAGGACCACTTCTGATAACTGTACATTTGGACTGTAATGTTTGTAGTAAACTTAGAGTTGTTACAGGCTGGGTACAGCTGTTAATAGCACTGTATTGCTGCTCATATCTTTAGCAGATTCTTTTTCTTGTAACCTAATTTTTTTGCTCCTGACCATGTAAGTCTGTAATCTGTCCCATGAGCAAAATACCTCCTCAGCACCTTAGGAACATACTGGGATAAATAACCTGCTCCCCAGCAACAGTTACTTTTGTGTTTCTTGCAATGCAATTGAGAGCTCTCCATCTTCTTGTTTTTCATTACCTGATGTAATACCAAAGCAAAAAGGAAGCCACTAAGGACTCTGTTGGGTCTTTTACTGCCTGTCTGTGGTAAACTTGCCTTTTCGCATGATTAATTTTGTATGCTAGTTGCAAATACAAATAAATACTCTGTGTAACAAGCTAAGGTGCTAAATTCTATCCCTGAATTTGTGATACTGTTCATGTTAGCAATCAACTCTATGTGTAGGTTTCTGTGGTTTTTTTTCCTTCATATATTGTCTCTTGGATTTTACAATAGAAGTTTTGAAAATTCCCCCTGAACAAGTATTCTAGCTGTAGTTTACCGTGAGGTGTTGCTGGTGCCTTAGTAGACAGGTTACTACACAGCATAGTACTGAAAATGTCACTCTCTTCTTCATTACCCGAGTACAAAAATGTTTTCACCATGGTGGGAAAACTGCCTGAGCCTGCTGTGAGGTCTGTGCTCACCAGGCTGCAAAGGGCCCCCAGCTGTGCTGCTGAATCTCCGAGCAGGAGCTGATAAAAGAACGGTGTGGGCACAGCCTGCAGGAGGAGCACTGGAAGAGACGTGCACAAGGGAGGAGGTTTTACTGCATGAATGTGAAATGTAGCTTTACGTGTGGCACAGAAAATCTGAGTAAGTGAAGATGGACACAGTGCAGTTAAATACAGTTTATTTTTGCCTGCCACCATACACAAATTAAATGACAAAAGCTGATCTATCAGAGCACTTGACTGTCTTGTAACCAGACATCTCATGTTGAAAGAAGTGAAATGCTGTCAAATAGGAAACAGTAGTGAAATGCTCTTCCTGTGAAGCATCAGTTTTAGATGTGATGAGAAAGGTTAACCTTGCTTCCTGGTCAGGACAAAACTTGGACAGCATTTCATTCTAAAGGGGCTTTTAGATCATGTTGATAGCTATAAAGGTAACACCTGAGAAAAATAAGCCTATTACAGGTGTAATTCAATCTAGGACTTTCTTTATGTAGCTATCGATTTAGTGGAAAGGACTCTTGGAGCTCATTACTGCACTCTTCTCCTTGCCTTTTTTTTTTGTTTTATTTTGAGTGTGAGTCAACCCTACTGTTTTCAGGCACTTATGCATGCAAATCCAACAATTCCCACTGAAAAATCATCTCTTCCTCTTACTTACCTGCCTTAAATCTGCGTCTTTGTCAGAATCTGTGCACAAGTGCACTTGTCCTCAGTTGACTGACAGAGCTTTAACACAAAACCTGATATGATCTGGATTGCATCTCCTGGAATAGATTTCCATACGGAGTCATCTGAGGTGCAACCCGGAAAAGAACTGGATATGAAGCAATTTTCCTCTTAGCTGAGGTGAAAGCCAAACTTCATGCTTTGTGTGCTACTTGTTTGCAGGCAATTCTATGGGCTGAGCAGTTCTTCATCTTCTGAAGAGATGAAGTAAATAAACCTGGAACTAAACCCTATGTGGCTGCTTACTGCCTATTCTCTACTGAACTCTGAGACTTTGAAGGGCATGGACGAGAGGTTCATCCCTGAGGTAGCACTGATTCTCTCAGAAAGTAATCTTCTAAAATTACTTTTCAGATGGAAATGAAATGCAGTTGAACTATGTGTTCTTAGCTATAAATGCTACAATTTACCTGTAACTCGATTTCACTCTAGTAGGGGAAACTAACATTCATAAAAGAATTTGGAGAGCTTTACTCAGTGATTTAGCCTGCTCTTACTGTCTTATGCTCTCATACGTGGGCCAGAGTACTTCAATAGGTCACCTCTGATGGGCAAAGCTGCTTCTATTATGGGATTTTAATTTCTTTCCCTATGGTTTAGATAATCCAACCTTTTGTTAGTTTGCAATCAAAATGTGTGAAGCAAACAAATAGTGTGATTTGGCACTTCACAAGTTAAGCACCAGCAGTAAATATCTTGCTTTCCAGTGATTCCTCTGCTAGAAAGAAAAACATTTGCTGGAAGATTAATTAAACTGTATTAAATGTTCACATTTTAAAATATCATCATCATATTAGAACACCTACTGAAGGTCACCCAACTACTTCTATATCAAAATCCTTGCTGCATTGGCTATTGCGTTGTATTTTTTTTTAATTAAAATAATGATATTACATTCGTCAAGTGTAAATACTGTAAAATAGACTATGGCAAAATGAAAAGGCACGGAATTAAAACAATTGTTTCTACTTTCACATTTGCTATTTGCCCAAAAGTATTTTATACACTTCTACAAGAATAAGCATCTTTTTAAATACATCTCTAAAGGAAGAGACCCCATAGTTTTATCTTTAACAACAGAATTTGTATTCCTCTAAGTGTGACTTTCTGTCTGGCAATACTCACTTTAAGGTGCTCTTTGGAGCAGAACTCAAGTGCAGTAGAAGAGTACAGCTTTGCATGAAGTCAGCAGCATTGAACATACAGCTCACGTGGTAATGAAGACAAACAGCAATCTCTTACATCAAAGCAGTAATCAAAGTGCAAGTAGACAGACAACATGAGAATTTAAACTAGATTTAACCTGAATTTGGGAAGAAAGCACTAGAAACTGAATCAGAATACTACAAAACAGTCCTGTGAAACACCTCAAACAGGTTTGCTGAGTCTCAGGTGTCATTGTAAGGTGTATTAAAATCATTGCTGCTTTCTGAAAAATAGATGTGCAGTTGTGTGTTGGTTTGTTGGGTTGTTTTTGTTTGTTTATTTTAAGAATTAGTCTTTGTAGCCCTGATGTGGTATCTTAGTAACAGTCAGGATGTCATTTCCAACAGTCGTTTCTGTTCCAGAGCACACTTCAGCACAGCCCAGCAGTCACTGAGATGCTTGCATACTTCCCAGTGGAACCATAAAAGCTCGAGTGCTGCAGTTTCCTTGATTCTCACTGCAGTAGCTGCACCATTAGCCTTGGCTGTGACTGAGTGGGAAAACATCAGGCACATAGTTGGCAAGAATTGTTCATTGTGTCACCAATGTATGTCATTCTTGCCAGTAGTCCTTTGGTTACCACACTCTGCATTTGTCTGCTGGATGCATTGCGGTGCCTTTTTTACAGTGAAACACCTCTGAGAAGGCTTCAAAGTTCTGCAAAGATCCCATCACCCTGAACAAAGAGAAGAAACTTATTTGTGTGGAACAGTGCATGGAGATAATTGCTCTGGAAAACAGAAAACTATGTTCATGATGTGATTGAGTCAGGAAACTCAGCTACATCTCAGAGCACCACACACTTTAACTCTGCAAGAAGAACAAAGCTGACATAACTACTGAAAAGCTTGAACAAACATTCTCTGTAGATTGGCAAATTCAGACTAAGTAAAGGAGGGCACTCTTCAGCAGTGTCCTACAGGGGGAGAATTTCTATGCTGGACTGAATTTATCTTGTCTGTTAGCATGTAGCTGCTAGCCCTGCACTGCTCTCTGGCTCTGCGCTTCACTGGTGCAAAGGATTGAACCAAGCAGGTAAACCCACCTGTATTTCAGAGGGCTGTGAACATCTGTCTTTATTGACTGGCTGGCATATTCTGGTCTGTAGGAACCACACCAGACCTACATAAGGAGAATTAATAATTAGCGGATCAGCATTAAAGGAAATGCAATTGGGGCACTTTGTTCCCTTTTTCCAAAGATCCTGAGAGGTGACCCTATTTGTTACGATATCAAATACAATAGGAGTGTGTTTTAGAGAGGGAGCAGAATAGACACAGTTGTTTCCTCTAATTAGTTTTAGTTTTGTCTGTATCTTTGGGATAGGTAAACTAGCTCTTAATTAACACCACCTATGTGTTTCCTCAAAGGAATGGGTTTAAGGCAGGCAGTCCAGGATGCGCAGTGTTAGGTCCCCTAGTGTGAAACATTTGTCAACCAACGACTGAAAACACGAGAATTTCTTATCCAGGTGGTAGGGTGAAATTGAACTTGGCAAATTTACTGTTTCTGCATTGCAAAAAAGGGATATTTAGGAAATAACTGGAGTCAGTAGCAACATCTGTAGTCTGAATATGCGTGCAGCCAGTGTAAATCACTTTACAAGTGGAACTGATGTTTTCTGTAAACTTCAGGCTTGTCTGTGGGTTTCTGAGTGTTCTTACCTGGGCAAAGTTGAGGAAGAAAAGCTGCTTGTGGGACAGATTCAGTCCAGGCAACTTTGGTTCCTTCCCTTCCTGTTCCAGCCATTTTAAATAAGCCTAGAAATTATGGATTCAATTCAGTGAAGGAACAGGATGGCCTATTCATACATAATGGGTGTTCTGAATGCTATGCTGAAGTGAGAGATTGCAGTCAGAACTGTGTGTGAACTCAATGTGTTCTCTGTTCTGTTTTCCTAATTTTTGTCTTTCTGATACAAATAGTACGGCAGATTTTATGGAAAAAAAAAGTCATTGTGGGTATTCTGAATAAACATAATTTGCAGTCATCTTTGGAGAAATCTTTGAACTGAAAACTGATCATAAACTGGGGAAAAAATACCATTTTCTTACGTGGAAGTGGAGTTTTAGGTTTGCAGTTGTTAGGCGAATGGACCTCCATAGCAAGAACTGTGTTCATTCTTAACACTTGGAGATCCATTGGGAATTTCTGATTGTTTTACCCAAAGGTAGGACCTGCCACGCTGATGGACCAGCAAGCAAGCATGGCACCATGTGGCAGGTAGTTTCAGCTCAAGTGTAGCTGGAAATAAATACTAGCTCAGTAAGGCAACAGAGACAGAACGTGACTGCAGTTTGAGGTGAAATCATCAGCTTTTACATTACTTTTTCTGTAGGATTTTTTGTATCTAGAGAAGAAGCATAAATCTATCTTCTGTGCTGATGATTTCTGTGTCTTCAGGTAGCTGCTTATAAAATAGCAGATAATAATCTTGCTTGATGTTAAATCCATTACCTCTTATTGTTACACATTAATTGGCCAATTTTCTTTTTTTAGGTATATTGACATAATGGAGACAAGTTAATGTGTCCTCATGCTGATTAATTTCAAATGTTCTATCACCTTATTCTTGTGGTTGCTGAGATAATCCCAAAGCACACAAAATACAAAAGGTAGAACTGGGGGGTTGAAATGCATTCAGCAGCACAGAGCCTCAGCAGATCCTGTATGCAGGACGTGTCACACCACGCTGCTCTTCCACATGAGTAATACATCTCAGAATCACATATGTATTCACATTAGCAAAGTAATTAATTTTAATGGTATTCCTCAGATTCAGACTTTCCAGTTTAGATTTCTGAAAATTCAGGATGTTCTTCTATAAACACCCTTAACTGTTACCACATTACAACTGGAGAGAAGTTTTAGCCTGACATCTGCTGGGATTATTCTTAGAAAAGAACATTCCATGCTCACGCTTGAGCTCCACATGGAAAGAACCTTTGTGCCAATAAATACTGAGTTCCTATTCATAACAGTGGTTTGTAAACCTGGAGGATTACAGATACTGGACTTCCCTGAGGCTAGAAGCTGTCTTCCCTGTTGAAATAGGACGATATGCAGGGGTGTTTTTAACAGAGAGCAGCATGCTAAACACCTTTCAGCTGCAGCACAGAGGCAGTGCTCTGAAATACAGTTGCATTTCTCTTATTTTGAACATAATTGATTAGTTGAAGCAGCCTTTTTACTATGGAAAGAAGAGTTCTGAAATTATCTTGGTTTTTTGGTTTTTTTTTTGCTTACTACAAAAAAGACACAGCATCAAGGTAGAAGAAACTTGTGTTATTTGTGTTATTTCCTAAAGCTCATAAGACAAAGCGAGCAACAAAAGGAGCTAAGTGTTTAGAGACAGGTGTTCTGGTAGAAGTGATCTGTATTCCTTTTGAGGAGGAGATGGACCATCTATGGGATCTTTTCTTGTCTTACCTGATGTCACTTTTGAGATCAAAGATGAAAAGTGTGAGAGAAAAACTTGAAAAGACCGCATTGCTCTGTTTCCTAATATCACAAAGCTGTACTGCTTGAGATTAGAGCCTGCTGCCATGTGATGAGCTGCTTGTGGTTGTAGCTGCCATTTTCAGAATTACGAGCTTTAGAAAATCGAGAGTGCTTTTTCTTGTGTAACATTGTGCTTATTTATGAACATGGCCCTTGTTTACCTGAAACTGAAGAATGCAGCACCAAGCATTATGTAGAATCAGAGTGTAACTGTGCTCTTCTGGGTGCAAGAATGCCAGCAATCCTACCTTGGGTTTGGGTCTATTGGGACATAAACTTACAGATATATAGCTAAGCTGGAACTTTATGTAATAACATGTTAGTTGTCAGTTTTTCTGTGCTATAAAAAGCATCCTGAATTGCTGAATATCAGGTAAAAATCACGCAGAGTGTATCTGAAATTTACCTTATAAGCCTGTCGGACTCCTCCATTATCTGCAATATTTTCTCCTAATGTGCTTATTCCACTGACCTGTAAAAGAATAATCACTCATTTACTCTACAGTCAGTAATATCAGTAACCAAAGAACCACAAGCTGAAGCACAGCTGATGGTCAGTGTGGAACAGAAGGCAGCAGTGACTTTGTGCTAGGACAAAGAAGGAGAGCATGTGAATGAGAAATGCTTTTTTTTTTCTTTTTCCCCAGTAATTGTTATTTTACATTTTGGATAGAAATTTGCCCTTTTGATTGGTTTATTGAAGGCAGGCTTTAGAAGAGAAGTAAATCTAAAAGTGGGAGTGGGCACTGCTGAATTCTTTTCTCTAGACACTCTGTTACTGAATTTGAACCAAGTGCTCGAGATGGCTGTTGTCAAACCTGCATCAGCCTGTTTCCCCTAAATGTCCTAAACAAAAGATCCTATAGGTGGCTGTTCCTGGCAGCTGCACTTACATTTTGTCCTCCAGCCAGCTCCCACGTGTAGTTCCCATACTGGTGAACCATGCAGCGAGACTGCTCCTTGAAATGCATAGCTGAGAAATTGCTCCACCAGTCAAACATATTTCCATCTTTATCAAAATTCCGACCTGTGTGAGAAATTCAATACTTTACTGGCTTACAGTATCAGAAGTGGGACTTTATTCAAAACTGTTTTATGCCGCATTAGAGAAAGATAATAAAGTAAATTTATTTCATAAGTTCACACGGGGAGAAAAACGATTCCTGTATTTCAGGACAGTGCTAGCAGCTCTTTTATCACAAAGAAGGAATGAAGGAAGAACGTAGTGCACAGATTTCATTTCACTTTAGAAGCCAGCATAGCTGTTTGTACTGATAGTACTTCCAAATCTGATGCTGCTGCAGAAGCAACAGGTTTTCCTGAGAATTGCCATTGACTCAATTTGTTTTAAAAACCTTCTTACACCTTGAGTGGCCTTCTAAGTTCAGTGTAAACTGTTCAAGAGAATGCTCATAGTGTGCAAGTATTGCTCCCAGGTAATTAACTTAGCAGGTGTGTGCACACTTGTGCATGGATACTTCAGTCACCCAAGTGTATAATTTTAATTTCTTACAATGTAATGAATGCAACTGAAAGAAGAATTCTTTCTCAGTTATCTTCTCACCATTGTCGTCAAAGCCGTGGGTAATTTCATGCCCAATAACCATCCCAATCCCTCCGAAGTTCAGGGCTTGTGGTTGGTGTTTGCTGAAGAATGGAGGCTGTAGAATCCCAGCAGGAAAAACTGCAAAGAGGAACAGAGAGGGAGGAACTGGAGCTAGATGGCTTTATTGCTGCATGCTTGGCAAACTCCGTGGTTATTTGGTTAAAAGGTCAGGAGAGCATCTAAAATATGAAACGATGAGAAACACATCGTGCCTCCTCCTGTGAATTTGCTTCCCTCTGTACAAATGGGGAATGACAAGTTAATAAAGGTTTAATTTAGCACATCTGCAATTACAGTATTTCTTCTGAGAACCAAGCATCATTTGCATTTCAGCTTTAGCCTCATTTGATCTACAACATATAATGCAGTGAGTGAAGAACAGGAAGTTTGGTAACTGTCTCCTGGAGATGGGTACAGTTTGTGTTTTAAAGCCATTTTATAGGGGAACTAATGGATGTTTTATTGCTTTATTTTGGGTGCAGAAAGGTGAGCAATCATATGCTGATTAGCACCAAAAACACTCAGCATGTAAAACATGCAGAACAGTAACTGCTTCAGACCTCCAAGTGCACTCCCATGTCATTGTGGGAGGGCAGCAGGAGGTCCATCCTTCCTCAGTCTCTCTGAAAAAAGCCTTATATAGAAGCGATAGGATTTAGTTTTCTTCCCATGAAAAATGAGAGATGTACATGCTTCTAGAAGAATTAAGACTGAAAGCACTTAATTCTACTGAGATATTTGCTAATAATTGAAATACCATAATTAGACACTTTGTTCATTAAGACCAGATTTCACGTCTGGAAAGCCAGCTCACAGCTGATAACAGTGAGTATGAAAGCAGTGTCAGTAAATAGGGATGATGTGGCAAGAGTCTGATGGTGAACACATGTGCAGCACTATGATGGCATCTATTAGCAAGCTACAGGAGGAGTGCTGCTGAGGCTGAAGGATCACTCATAGCCTTGCTGTACCTACAATATAGAAGTAAATGGAAGCTGCAGAAGTGGGAAATAATTCTTTCTGATGAAGCTAAAGGGTCACATCATGGGTGCTTTGGATGTCCCTGCCTTTAGGAAAATATTATATAAATCTGCCCTTGGGCTGTGGTTTTAGCTTGATGCTCTGAGGATATAGTTCTTGTCTGGTCAGAAAAGGCACATATTTTTCTCTTACCATATTGGGCACTACTTAACATAGTGATACTCTTGTTGCTCTGGAGTGCAAAAAGCTCTATGGAGTAGAAATGATTTGGTTCCTCCCCTGTTTGAGGTCCTCGGGGTTCAGCAAGGACTCTACAGTGTCTCTAGGTTTAATGTGAACTTCTGGCCACATGCATGAGCTCAGAAATGGGAATATGTGGAACCAGACACGTTCATCATGTCTTCTTACATTTGAGATCTTGGCTACTAAGAGCAAGAGGGATCAGGCTAGCAACTCAGCAAAATATCTCAGCTCTAACCTCCTGTAAGTAGAGGCTGGTTTCTTTAATGTAGTTTACCTCTCCGCGAAATTACTTCTGTACCATCTGCGCAGAGAGCAAACTGGAAGGCTGCCCTTATGTTTATCAGGAATGTGGAAACATGAGTAGAAACAGCCCAGAACACACTCTGAGCGTTCCCTGGTCGCTGAAGCTGGCACTTGTATAGTAGCAGTTACTGTCTCAGGCTTTCAAACATAAGGCTGTTCCAATTACAGTATATGAACTATGCCTGCCAAGAAGGGGGGTGGGGAGTTGAATATTCATCAACAAAGCTGCTGTTTGAAGAGAACAGTCTGCCTACCTTGCCCTCAGCTTCCACAAAGGCTCAGGCAGGTTTGCCTCCTTGCACGCTTCTGAAGCAATGACTGGTTAACAACTGTTTAAAATTGGTATTAACTTACCTATCTGGTTCCGATTGGGAGAGTAGAATGCATTGACCACTGCAGCTCCAATTATCCATCTGAAAAGAAACATTGCACACAAATTCATGAATATTGTAAACATTCTTTTTACTGAATTACTCTTATTCACAAATGTAGATTGCATTTAAAGGATTGAGATGGGAAGAAGGGTGCCACTGAATGCAGTTGTAAAGAAATACTCATAATAGGAAATAGATGATGTCTCACTTATTGGCATCTTTCATCCAGAAGAATACAAATTAAAGCGAGAAACACATTTGCTCCTGAATGTTGAACAGTGACACTGGGTGGAATGTGGTGGCTGTTCCCAGGTCACTTCAACACTATCTGAGCTTAAGAGGAAATGAAGTATCACATTCATAAGAAAATTAACATTTAGAAGACATTCTGAGCAGCAAAGGTAGTTGCTGCAATTAGAAGTTAGGACCCAACTTGTCTCTTGAAAAATTTTAGTTAAAACTGAATAATCACAGTCATTGCAAATCGGGAATCAGATATACAAATGTCTGCAGTTGGAGTCCACTGTTTCATGGATAATGAGTACTAACTTAGAGAAATAATTCTTGTTTGAAATAAGCTTCTTTTGGAAAATTTTACCCATAACTTGACAACCTTTTATTCTTTGTATTTCTCCCATCCCCCCTCCTTCTCTTCTACCTGACATACACTTCTGGTCAGCCCACTTCAAAGCAGTCTGAAGCCATGGCCTCTTGGCAAGTGTTAGCAGCATCAGCCTAAGATGTTGCTCTTCCCACATCTTTTGTCCTCTCAGTGTCACGTGCTGCCCTGATTGCTCTATCTACCATTATCTTGACACAGTACTTGTGACACCACTAATTCGGGACTTAAGGTTATGTACCTGACATGTACTTGTTCCTTGAAACTTACATGTCTTGGTCAACTCTTTCTCGAAGTTTTTTCAAGCTCTTTTGGGCTCCAGCTCTCAGATTTTCTAGGATGTTCTCAAAGTAATTGTGTTCACTGAAGTTTAGCTGAAGAAAGATATCTTGGTATTGGTAAGATGTGCTGAATGAGGAATTCTTTGTGCCACTGAATGCAGCTTCTAAAATATTTTGATTAAAAAGTATCACTTATAAATGCATGCAAAGAGCTAATTTCCAAAATGTTCCATTCAATCAAGTTTAGATGCTTTCCAGTCACTTGGAAATGATAGCTACTTTAGGTCTAAGTACTCAGTGTGGCAAGAGAATAAGTGCAGGCTTTTATACAGAGGTGAGGTACTTACTGAGGTACATACAGTGTACTTACATTGGCATATTCTTGATCTAGCTTTTCATTTTGGTCTTCCAAAATATAATCTGGGTAGCCAATCTGTTCTTTAATTGCCAACGCCTAGAAGAAAAGAGTTTAACCTTTCCTTTTTTGATTCAAATTCATTTTTGTTATTGCACACCTGTTTGTGAGAACTGGGATGCCAGTAGCTGAAAACATCCTATTGCCTGGTGAGACTTCAAACAAGCAAACAAGAAAACCCCAACAGACATACAGTTGTCTTCTCCTCTCCAAGTGTGGCCAATCACTATGGTAAACTTGCAGACCTTACAGAACTATTTAACAAGATTCAGCTTAACTTCTTTTTCTTTGGCAACTGTGCCAATAGTTCTAAAGTCAGTGAAAACTTTCCTTTGGGGAATTGCATTGTATTCAGTTGTTGTATAGTTGATGGGTGTCATCTTCTCACTTATAATGTGGTTCACGAGATGCATTAAGGGAAATAAAAATGTATGTGAGCTAATAAGGGATAAAAAAAGAAAAGGAAAATGTCACAGGATGGATAATAAATAACAGGATAATGGACATTAAACTTTTCTCATTTGGAAACTAACGCTACAATATTCCAAAGATTTCATACTCATGAAAGAATATGGAAGTGTCATGTTCTCTCTGACCTTCTCACGAGCTTTTGCTTTAGATGCCTCATCCATCCACTGTAACTCATCTAAAGTCTCAATGAACACTTCACGAATCTTATCTATTAAATCTTGGACCTAAAAGAGAGGCAGATAAAAAATGAATTATTTACATGCTATTTTTTCCCAAACACAGTTAAGGTGATGAAGGGTTTCCTACTGAAAACTGATTTCCCCAGAATTCTGTGTTTTGTACCTGGCATTTAAAAGAGAATCAAAGTGAGTTCTTATGCTTCCTGACTCATGGCTGGTGGGTATCATTACCAGATAAAATAGGCTGGGAGATCAGATGGAGGGGAATGCTCACTGTGGACACTGGAGGTACAATAGTACAAAGGGGAAACTACATACCATCCTCTTGCTCTCACCAGCAAATGTCTCCCTGACATACATTGCTCCTACTGCGTTCTCCATGTTGTTGTTGACATAACTCACGCATTCTCTCCAGCGGGCTTCTTCCAGTGTTGTCCCATAAAGTGCCTAGAATATAAAACACCACAGGATCAATTCTGCCAACACGTCTCTTATTAAAAATCCTCAAACTGCTGCCTAATGAGAAAGCTAACTAAAGACAAAAGTTTCTCTTGTTCCTTCAACTTTGTTTTGTGATTACGTGCTCTGACAATGTCTCTGTGTTGACTTGGTGAATGGGGGACTCTTCTCCTAAAGAGACTGCAGAGCTTGGTGCTGGCAGAGAGGAGATACCTTCCTGTAGCTGGCCCGAGCATCCTTGAAGCGCCGACTCAGGCTGCTGACTCGATCGATTACCAGTCGCCAAATGAGGTAGTTCTGGATGGTGCTGTGTGGAAAGCAAAGCTGACTTTAATCCCTTAGAAAAAGTAACATTAGTGCAGACTGTCAGAGGAGAACACTGATGCTGTGTGATTCTCTTTTCTAAGAGAACTAGGAGAACTAGCAATTGGGCCCAATAATTTGTTTCCACAGTATTTCTGTGACTTGTCACAGAATTGTTTCAAATTTTATTTTTTTTTACCTTGCTGAGTACTTGGAGATAATTGCTTTCAGCTCTTGCAAGTATGGCATGCCATATACAACAACTTCTTCTTCTGGGTCAACCTGAACACTTACTGAAGACATGACACCCTGGATGAAGAAGGTCCAGTTAAATTCCTAGGCAGAAAGGAGACACATACTCATGGTGTTAAGTGCCTTAGTAACTGTCCACACTTTCCATGCCTCTGAATGTTATAGTGCTGGTAGTAGAAGCAACAGGCACTAGAGAACACTTACGTTCAACGCAAACTTTTCCTGTAGCTCTTTTAAGGTCATTTTGTTGTATAACAAGGTTACATCATGCCTTTCTTCTGCTGGGGTAGTTGCCTGAAGACATTCACAAAGTTATTACCATGATCAACTGACACAGACGCCAATGGCTGAAGTCACAGGAACGTGTGTGCACACATAAACATGTAAACATCACTGAGAATAAAAACAGGTTTGGGTCTTTTTGTGGGGGAGAAACGAGAGCAGAGTTGCCGTCCAGTGTTGCTTTCTACGTTTCAGTACAACAACTCGGGCACCTCTAAATCAATAATGCTTCATTAATCTTTTGAAGCAAGAGATTCCCTTCGTCTTTCTCAGAACGGACAACCAAGCTTTTATAAGTCTACTGCACCCCAAAAAACGCAAACTAATGTTGCAAGGGAGCTAATCCTGGGGTTATCACGATGTGCATTTAGCAGAACATGAAGCATTTTGATTTAGGAGACTTCCAAAAAACCCAATATGGCTAGGGCTAGAGCAGACATGATAGCAGTGCATGCAGTAGAGATAATTATACACACAGAGGCTCTGATTTCTGGGCTGCTCATGGCACAGAAAGCTTCCTTCTCTTCTCACCCCCCTGCTATTTTTTTCCTTTGGCCATGAGTTTTTACTGCGTCAAACTGCTGAAAATTAAGACTCTTCCTTCTACCCAAACATCCAGAGAGGTTCTTCATTGCTCTACTTACATTTGCAATATCTGTTTCAAGCTCCATAACCTTTGCCATCTCCTCTTGGACAAACAAATCGTCTTTGGATACATTCATGTCTTCTCGGATCATCTTAGCAATAGTGATCATGAACTGCAGGTAAGCTTCCCTTACCTGCACAGAAGAAATTTTATGTGTGCGTAGGGTCATTATGGAAAGGTTTGCTGTCATTTGTCATTAAGCAAATGATTGTCATTTTAGCTTTTACAGTCTGCTGTGATAATGTTGGGCTCAATGGCACAGCTTCTACAGTCCATTTCTAATTTTACTGTCATTTTTCTTTTTCCTTACTGTAACAGATATTGCTGCAATCCTTATGAGTTCATCCCGTAATACTTTGCAGTGCAGTTCCCAGTCTCAAAATACATAACAAAAGCAATATTTTTTGCATCCCTAAGCAAGCTAACTCTGGAGTTTGGGGTTAGAATTTCAACCAGAGCAAAAAGAAAGCTCTGTGCTTTGAGTTGCACTACGGGAGTGATTCCTACTCGCCAAAAAGAGGAGTAAACATGAAGGGTTTAAGTTCTCTGAAATTAATACCATAAATCCTCTAAACTCTGTTTTCACAGACTGAAAGAAAAGCTCTCTGGGATGGGTCCCAGTGATACCTTTGCTTTATTTGTAAGAGGAAGCTATGGCTCTGAGTTACGCCTCAGAACGGGCCTTGAAAAGATATCTGGTTGCTGAGTACAGACCTATGATACAAAAAAGCTTAATATTACCCATTATTGCATACTTTTCTTCCTCCGTAGACCTTGGAAACCAGATAAATAAAATAGCTGTTTTGAAATCGAGTCCGGGCACTTACATGATAATGGTTTGTGTTTTTAGGCTGAATGCTGAGGCCTTAATCAGGCTGGACTCCCACAGCCTCAGTAAGAGTTGTGCCAAAAGATGCTGGACAACGCAGAGGGGGAGTTTGGGTCATCAGTTTGGTTCATTGTTTGTGGGAAGTGAGCTGTTAAATAGCAAATAAAAAGGGGTTGTCTCTCCTCTTTATTCATAAAAATTAAAAACACAGCCCTTCTTATTTAGTTATTTTAAATGCTTTTGGGTTTTCTTTTGCTAAGTAAAGATAATCCGTGTACTGTGCCTGATTTTCTACCCCCTACGAGCTCTTCCGAATCTGATTTTTGAGCAGGGATGCATAAATGTCCCTTTTAATGTAACTGCTACTACGTTGAACTTGTAGAACAGAATCCTGGTTCCAGCAGCTCCCAGCAAACTTCGAGCAGCTCTTTGTTGTTCCCAACACAGCCATGTGCAGATTATGTGTTGTTATTATGAGACAGATGAACAGAAGTTGGCTGTTTATAAAGGTGGCCAGAAGGTGTGGAAAAACAGTCTCATAAAGATTTCACAGGAATGTATTTTAGACCATATAATAAATGGAAATATATTCAAATGCAGTGAAGTCATAAGAAAGCTAGTCTCTCTCTTTTTATTTTTTTTTTAATCTGTCTTTCCAGCCACTAGACAAGAGTCTGAAATGCTGATCGTTCTCTCTCTATTCCCTTCAGTTCATGCTAGGAAAATGAGTTCGACGTTAAGTTGCAAATCCTCACTCCAGTATGACATAATTGACAATTAAAAAGTACTCAAGCATTATCTTGAGCTTGGAAACTGATAAATTAGTAAACTGTTGCAAACACAGCCTGATAAGTAATTACAGAAACCTCACAATTCTGCCCTGAGCCCTGACACAGAAGAGCAGCTAGGATTTAATCTCTCAGAACTGCCATGTAATTTTGGGGGACATGAGGAGGGAAGGAAGGAAGTGGCAGCAGATTCTTACCAGCTGAGTAATTATATTAATTAATTAATTAATTAACATTGATTTGCTATTCCATGGAAAACTTGATTTATGTTTTTTTTTCTGAATGAACATGTGAGCTTTTGAATATTTTGGTCTTGAACACGAGTCATTTTGTGGTATTGCATGCTCAGTACAGAAGAATTGTCACTTTAGGTCGTATTGATAACCAAGTTTTCAGTTCCTTCTATGACAGCAACCAGAGCAGGTGGTTTTAGAAGATACAAGAAACATAGGTTCACAATTTTAGTGAAAGTTATCCTTCAAAATTAGAAACTGTTAAAAGTTATAAAATACAGTTGTATTTTGTTCACATAACTTTCTTCTGATCGGTGTGCATTAGCCAGTTCTGAGGAGTCTCGATATTTAGACATTTGTTCTGACCTTTTGTAAAGTTGGTGAAACTTTGGTGTAAGTAGAGAAAAATGGAGCAGTGAATGTGATCATCTGCTCTGTAACGTGAAGATTCGTATGTTTGAGTTTTCCAGAACACAGGAATACTTAATGATGTTACTTTAGTAGCACATAGTAAATAAATCACAAGGGGTACTTACCCTTTGGTAGTTGCCCCCATTAAAGTAGTAATCTCTGGATGGCATTCCTAAACTAGGTTGGTCAATCTGAAGGAGATCATATACATTTCTTTAGTTAGTGATGAACAGGAACCGGTGCTGTCCAAAGGTGTCCTTGAAAGGCAACATCCTTGAAATGCTGCACATGCCATCCAGTTTGGAATGGCCAACAAGGAGCTTCTACCAAACATTCAAGAACTTCAGCTCTCTAGAAACTGAGGTGAGATGGAAAGTACAACTTCTGTCTCTGAATTTCTAGATGGTGACAGGATGGATACTCAGAGTGGGTTATTGAGGAAAGTCTTTAAGTAGTCATTGAGATAGAAAAATAAATTTAAGCAACTTAGAAAAGAAGCTGCTTGACTTGTGGGCTACACTTCATGCATAAGAATGCATGAACAAGCTCTGAACATACACATACTGACTTTTGAAATATTATCTTGCTATATAATAAACCTCACAATCATTTTGCAAGTCACAAGCAGTTTCAACCCTTAAATGCTGTAAATCAGCAAAAGTCCATTGATTTAGCAGAAAAAGCTACCATGGAATGTTTCCCAAAATAACTTTGAGACGTATCTGACAGTTGAACCATTACATAAATTTTGCCAGTTGTGTATACACACTGACTTCTTGGACAGCTGATCCATATGTAGGGGAAATAAGAACATGTTATAATTCTGGGGCACATAAATAATTCCTGGCAGTATTTTTCTTACATAGATGATATGTCTGCTGGAATCCCGGTCATCATTCCATACAAACATGTCAATGAGGACACGTTTGTTAAATCTGGAGTTCATTATGGAGAGTTTCTCTTCCATTCTCCAGCTTGGTTCTTGGAGATAAAAGGAAAAACAGACATTATTTAGTAATGTATCAATTTGAACAGGACAGATATGTACGTGTTGCATCCTACATTTTAATCTTTTCTTCATAAGGAAAAGTCAGGCTCTGCAGGACAGCTGTCACCTTAGTGCAGTAAATAATTCTGCCTCTTCCAGGCACAGTATTACCTTTGGTGTTGTTCCAGTCTGCAGAAGCCACTGGCCAATCTCCAACCATTGTTAAGACCTCTAGCAGAGGCAATGAATCTCGCTGCTCTATCAGACCTGAGAGAGGAGAAAAAAATACTATTTGGTTTTGGAGAGCTGGGAGGAAGGGTGAGCAGGAATGGAGGAAGAAGAAAAATAGAAAATATTCCTTACAGTTTAAATCTGGAACTGAGTCTATCATTGTAAAAAACGAGAGAGACCATGAAATCATCAGTCTCCTGCATGAGTTTGATTGAATGGCTTTGGAAAGAATGAAATGAATTGCAGTTTTTTGCATACAGAAGGAAAGGCTTTGCATGTTTGAGGATGGTAAGCAGCACCCATGCCATATACCAAGGCAACTGTATCATCATTTGAAGAATGATGTTCCAGACAAGGCTACACGATTCCACGGATATTATATGGACCTTCGTTCAGGTTGTACATTTGGCATTGAGCAAAGGAACAAAACAAGAAGGGACTCACTCTCATTCATGCATGACTTGTACAGTATCTTAGCTTTCTGGAACGCTTCTCTGTCCCCTTGATCTGCAGTCTCCAGCACACCTGGGGAAAGATCCATTGCCGTGAGATTTTTGCCCTGCAGATCTTTGATCTTTTCATAGAAATCACTGAGAATTGAGGGCTGTGAAAAATACTTGTTACCTCAGGCTTCCATTACTGTTAAACTAGAGTGCTCTTTAAAGGAGCTATCAAAAGAACAGTGTCAGGAAGGACATGCATGCAGCTTGTCCATCTCCCTTTGAAGTTAGTACCAAATCACCAACAATTTTTAGTGAGAACAAGATGTTATGACAAGATGGATGTAGTAAAGGATGGAGAGATTAAAGGACTGGAGATAAAAAATCACAATCACAATCAACACTTCTCTCCGTAATGCACAATAAATAGTGCGGCTGAAATTAAACACTAATGTGTAACCAAGGATAGAGAAGCCTCATTCCTACCTTTTAGGATGATCTCCAGCTCATCCCTCAGGATGTCAAAAATGCTGTATCTGGAGCTCGTTTCTGGGATAACATGCCGGTTCAGCCAGCCTCCACAGGCATACTGGTAGAAATCCTTGCAAGGATCAGCTGTTGTGTCCATATTCTGAATGATTCTAGCAGCTACATATCAAAATTAGAGAGTTGAGTTCCATAAACTACCCAGTAATCTCTGGGACTACCAGAGACTGCCACCAACACGCCTGGAAAGAAGGCCCCTTGCTCATGCTACTTAACATGGATAAGACTTGTGCTCATGTACCATGACTCAAAGGATCATACTCTTTGTTTAAAAACACAAATAAGTGTCTGATAGCAGACATCTGCACTGCAATTGGAGTGCTTTACAGAGGGAGCTCGTAAATGACAATATGGTAATTCTGCCACAGCTCACTGACTTATACCTGAGGTACCCGCCTATGAAGTCAGTGTTTCCAGGGGGTGACTGAACATTTCTGCTGTGGTCGTACCTCTCTTAATTGCATGTGATGGAGTTACACCGGTAGATGCTCGAAATGAATAGCTCTGTGTGTACAATCCATGCTCCTTAGCAGAATTAATTCTAAGGGGATTTATGTGATACTTTATAGGTATAGATTATGTTGCTCAATTCATGTAATTGTGGCTCAGGCTAGAGAACCGCTGACCATAATCGAAATCTTCCTGTACTGCTTTCTTACCATGAAAATACATAATGGAGAAATAACAACAGATTTGGGTTTTTTGGTCCCAGTGTTTACACTTGCAGCTGTTTCTGAGGACACCTATACTTATTGCCTTTGACAGAAATAGGTCTATTCCTTTAATACTGATCCAGTCTTAAAGCCTGCCTTGTTTGTTCAGATTGGGCAGATCACTTGTAAAACATCACTTCTATAATAATCACCATTGTAAGAGTCGTTACCTGCTGTAACACAACCAGGTGTGGTACATATATTGCCTGAATTGGTACCATACTGAGTGCCTGTAGAGAAAGGAGTAAAAGAGCAGACAGAATTAGTTGGAAGTCACTACCAGTCATCCACCAACTCAGTGCCAGTAAAAGATATCAATGTCAAACACGTCTCTTATCTGTGGATACGTGTGGAACACTTCTGTGCAAGAAGTACAACAGCATTCTCAGCAGTGAGTTTTAACTCACCTGCTCATTGTCTCCGTGATAGAAATGTTTTGCAAGAGCTTCTAAAAGAAGGAAAAAAACCCAAACCAGAAACAAACATGTGCAACTATTATGTGAAGAAATGAATCTGTATCCCCATCGCAGCAGAATCTGAAAAGTATCACTCTTGGATATTAGTTTTCTCTTTTTTAATACCTTGTCTCTGTTTGTGAAATTCCTCCAGTGAAGAAAATCTGCAGAAGCCCAATGCACTGCTAACGTGTGAGGGATGAGCAGAGCTGGAGCAGTGCCCAGCTCCTCCTGCTTGGTGCTCTCTGCTAAATGTGCTGCTGTGAGGCTGATGGCAGTGATAGAGGGCCTTGATGTAAAATCTGGAACTCAACACCTCGACTTTGTAACAGCATCTGATCATAAACTTCTTTGATCCTTACTCTGGGGTGCTTGCAGAAAAGTTGCTCAAAGCTTCCTTCCCATGAAAACACATGTTTTACATTACAGCAAACAAGATTACAGTAATTCAGATAGAAATAAAACAGTAGGGAAGGAAAGAGGGCTTTGAAGTTCATCAGAGGAAGCAACATAAAAAGCCCTCACTGTGATTGGGAATGTAACATTCAGGGTTCAGTAGAGTGCAGTTGTGCTGCATGGGAGTAAGTCTGCATGGCTGGTAATAGTTCAGTGTCTGAACATGGGATGAGCAAAACATGTGTAACGATATGAAGCTTCATGTAGAGGGCTTCAGCATTTTTTAATAACCAGGGGAAACAAGCACAATTGGTGGAGTTTCTTAAACTCTCTAATATATATTTAAAAGCCATGGGCTCTTCCACAGAGAAGGTTAAATATATATATATACATGTATGTGTGCATACACACACTTCTTTCTAGGGAAAAGCCAATAGTTCAAAGCCATTCTGAAATCTTCCTTAAGAAGCAGTACTGGTCAGGGTGAGAAGTGCTCTGAGTGTGCTGTATTTCCTCCAGCATTTCTCAGGGTTGGGACAGGACTCAGATGAAGCCTGTTTTTAATAGAAATTTCTCCCTTTAATACCACCTCAGTGTTTTACTTTGGTTTCTGGAATCCAGCTGCTTTCAACAGGATTCAAACCCCTCATTCAAAAAGCACTTTGTGACCATGAAAATGTAACTGAGATGCATAAGCAGGGAAGCCAAATCTGTTCTGAAACCTTGGTTGCACACTGAGTGCTCTGAAACTCTGCCACAAAAAGAGATGATCAGAAATGGCTGGCGAGGGGCTCTCAATTTACTTCAGAAAGTGGTTCTTTTGTGTGTGTTATTTTTCCTGACAAAGAACCAAGCCAGCCTGACTGTGTATGAGATATGACCTCTTTGTGAGGTATTTGTTGAGCCTTTGCTCACTTGTTTGAGGCTTTGCATGCTGCACTTCTTGAACCTCAGAGAACTGGAAACAAACGTAAAATGCATCTTTCAGCCAATTTCAGACAGAATTTCAGGTGGGGATCAGCAGATGGGATAGTGGCCGCTTCTGCTGCCCAGTGCATGGCCTGGCACTCCCACTGACAACACTCACACTTGCATTCACTTAGCTCCATCTTAGCAGAACTGGGACAGAGCAGAGTCTTGCCACCCAAATGTCATTTCACAGTGACTTTTGTGTTAGCTGCCACTTCTTTACATTCTCCACGTCCTTTGACTAGGATGCCTCACTAATGAACATCCATGGAGCTAAAGAACGATGAGCCATCAGCAGTCTAGGACATGAGCCAGATCTCAGCCACAACCTCTTCTTTTTGTGCTGGTGCTGAGCTCAGATGCTGCTCACAGTCAGCAGGCTCTCACAAACCCATTATTTAAATGCACATTTATTCCATTCACAGCATAGGAAATGCAAGGGGCACGGAATGGCTTTTGGAAATCCAATCCCAGAACGAGGTGCTCCTTACTTCAAGGATTGTGTTTCTTTTTGTTTGTTTGTAAATGCTATCAGGTGCAGGACTGGGCCCTCAGCTCTAGCAGCCTGTGCAATAGGTGGGACTGCTGGCAACCAGGAGGGATGCAAACAGAAAGAAAATATTTGCCCATCTTACCTGAGAGAAACATACAAACCTGGGAGCCAGCAGGTGAATAATATATCAATTAAATGGATGATTTGAGTGGTCAGGACTGGCAATTAAATGAAAACGCAAATTGTTTGCAACTCATGTCTGTTCAGAGAAGCCATTGGTTATGACTTGACAGCTACAATATGTGTTGAAGTGTTCTTCAAACTGTAAGTGCTGCAGCAAGTGATGAGATTTGGAGGTTGGTAAATATTTGTGGAACATAGCTGAGAGAGAGCTATGAAAAGGCTGCCAGGATGGGTGTGTAGGTGGTGATGGAAAGGTGTAATTGAGAACAGGCTGCAGTCAGATTCAAAAACGAACCACTTCACTTGTCTGCCTCCCTTTCTTTGCTCACCCAAATATTACTCTGCTATTCTTACTAAACTTTTTCTTGCTTGGTTAGGCAAGGTTTTATGAGCATGAAAGCTGCTCTAGATATCAAAAATCCCCAACGAGCTTCTAGATCTGTGGAACTGCTGCTGCTTGAGCTTCAGCCATTCTTTTTTTTCTTTCTTTCTTTTTTTCTTTTTTTTTGTTTATTTGTTTTATGGAGATAAAAGAAGAAAAAACTCTTAATTTTCCATTAGCGAAATAGCCAACAGGCCAAGCAGCACTGCAGCTTTGCTATCATTTTGCACTCACGTTCTCCTCGGGAATGACTGAATCTGGGAAGCATTTCAAATGAAAGCTTAATTGCTGATACAGGCCTGAAAAATATTTATATATTGGAATTCTTTTTCCACAAACAAGCTTTCTTTTTAACATGCACACGCTGGCTTTGCATGCAGCTTCTTCTCATGGACCTGGATGCGAGGCCAATATCTGGACAAATGTTAACAGTGCCTGAATTTTGATTTGCCTGAACTCAAGAAGCAATGTGTACAGCAGGTTTCTCATATCTTTTATGCATCCAAGCAACAAAAATTCTTCATAGCTCAGTGTTTTGATACAGAAATGCCTGCTGTAGGACTTAGCTTACGGGAGTTTTTTCTCCTCTCTTAAGCAGAATAAAAATGAACAACTACTGCTGAGTGTTATGAATACCAAACGCTCAGGGATTTCATCCAGCATTGGAACAAATGCTGATAACACTCAATTGCTGGCAGTGAAAAAGTAAACAATAAAAAAAGGCTTTTCTCTTGAATTATTACTCCCCCAAAATGGGGAGTATCCCTGCTCTGCAATTACTGTGTGCAGGCAGAGCACATCAAACCTTGTTGTCAGGTTTCTGGCAGATCATTCTCATGGAAGTCACTGAAGCTCATTTCACCTGGAGCTCAAATTGCACGATGCAATTTCAAAGAAGTCTCTCCCCCACTCCAGCAGTGCACTGACACTTATTGTGCTACAACATATGGAAATGTAAAAACACACAGCCACACTTCCCCTCCATAATAGTGCAGCATTTTTTTTACCTTTGTCAAACAGATGATAAACTCAACAAAATGCACAGAATTACTTAAATCTTACTTCCTGTAATTTAATAATGAAATAAAATGCCAGAATCCCCTCTCGGTGAGTTCCAACTCCCTCAGAGAGGTGAGCTCACCTTCTCTCTGTATTTTTGTTTTCATTTGGCTCTGCAGAAAAGACCTTAATGTTGCTTGCACGGGAAAAAGGAAAATTATTCAGGGGTTACTTACCTCTGCTGCTGGCATACAGGATTACCAGGGCGACTGCAGAACAAGTCATGAGGAGCAGCAGGACAGCCAGCCCGATGGCCACGAAGCGCCAGGATTTCTTCCCAGATTTTGTTGATTTTTCCACAATATCCATTTGACTTTCTGATTTCCCCATTATTGTAACTCTAAATTATGGAGGGGAGGGTAAGAAAGAATTAGCTGCACGGCTAAATCAGTACGGGGTGTATGCATGACAAATCAGGGAGTGAAAGGAAGCAGAATAAAAGCAAAGATAGGTAAAGAAAACTTCCAAATTATTACATGTATTTGTCCATTTGATTGTCCACAGATTTGCCAACCTCATTCTCCATTCTCCGTGCCTACCAGGTTGCCTGCACTCAGGGCGTGCTGCGGGGCTGCGCCACCCAGACTCAGTGGTGCCGTGTCATCGCTCCAGGAGCCTGCTTTGGGAAGTGTGAGAAAGTCTCATGACTTGGTTGGGCAACTCCTTTCTCCCAAAAGGGGAAGGAGGGGAAAATCTGCCTCCTTCAGTCCTCGCTTTGAAAAGTGCCTTGCTGTTTCCAATAATTTTCCTCTCTTCCTCTGTGGATGTGAGTGGCTCTGTTATCAGCAGCAGAATCCAAACAGAGATCCTTCCAGATGCGAGCGTCTTTGAGCTGTGTCTGCCCTGTCCTTAGCAGAGATGAAGGGTTTGGAAAGGAGAAAGCTCCTACAGCACGTGTCAGCTGCCAGGCGTGCCAGAGCTCCTGACTGCCAGCTCCTCAGTCTTCTCAGAGCCATTCCCAAAGTTCTGAGCTCAGCTGTGTGCAGTTCCCAGCTTCAAGCAGACGCTCCTGAGCAGCAGGGGGAGGAGGGGTTGCATCACGCAGGCAGGCTGAGGGCTCTGTGCTCACAGCCTGCGCGCTGCACCGCTCCTGCCGAGTTTCCTCCAGCTTTCCTGAAATGTGCCACCAGGTTACTTGGCTGCTGTGCTCAAAGGAGGAGTGAGAAGTCAGAGGTGGAAACCTACCGGAACCTTCTGGCCCTGAGAGTGCTGGCAGCTTTCAGTGTAATACAGACAACAGTTAGTGGAGTGAAAGCACGCTGATTTATACGTAGGTGCGGGAGATGTGCAGAATTCCTTTTGTGCTTCTCCTTGAAAATCTAAAAGCTAACAGCTGGGTATGACAGCAGAAGGATGGGAATGTGATTTCCCTTGGGTTTCATGTAATTCTTTTCCAGAGCTGACTTTGGAATGGAGAGAGAAACAGTTTGTTCTGTTTGTCTTCTGTTTTGTGCATTCAGCTAGTGTAACTTATTGCCAGCTAACTCTCTGCAGATTTTAAGGTTGGCATCTCTTGAGCTGAGCTCTTCACCAGCACTCTCAGCTTTGAGTGTGGCCACAGGGAAGCACTGGGGGCAGAGCAGGGGCTTCTTTGTGGCAGTGCTGTTTACTGGGATGTGCAAACAGTGTTCCAAGAATATGAGCACAGACGTGTTTCCCTGAATGGGGTAGGACACAATGAATGCCAGTTTCTTCAGCCAGGAGTTTAAGCCTCCTCTACTAGTCAGTGCTCTGCCTGAAAACCTCTCTGAGAATTTGCCTTTCCTTCGGAGTCACGTTAAGTTAGGCATCTGCCAAGTGTGAAGGCAGCTGTTCTCATCCCTCCATCTGAAGAGGAATCTAAGAACTCACAGATCTGAAAAAACCCCACTGTGCTTGCAGATCCTGCAGACGGGTGTCTGTCTGTGAAAGGTAGTCACAGAAGTGAAGGTTGCTTAGAAGAACAGTTGTACATTTAATTGTGTGCCAGATGATCTATTATTTCTCTTAGTGGGGAGTCTAGCAAAGGAACCTCCTCTGCACGTGAGCCTTCTTTCTGATGTAGTTTTGTTGTTGCCGTGTGATGCAGCTGGCTCTGAGGAAGGTCTACATATTGCAGTAGACAAGTGCCTCCCAGGACTTAATGCAGATATTTTTGTAATGCAGCTGTAAGATACCAATGGACATGATTTTGCCCATTTGACAGATGGAGAATCAAGATGCCAAGAACCTACGAGCTTTGTGCCTACAGCTTTCTATGGATTGTGATTAACGTGGTGTCTGAGGCTGGGAATGCCATGAGGGATTTTGAGGTGTAGACCCTTGCTCTCCAGATAGCAAAGGACAGAAAAATAACAAAGCCCTACGACACATCTGTAATAAATGGTTCAAACAAGGCCTAAAGTGACTTCATTGAGGTCATGCCTGAGCACCAAGGATGTGGATCTCTTATGTCCTCAGACAATTTGCAGATTCCCTCAAACACATTGTCCTAGTCATAAAGAGAATACCACAGATCGTTTCTAATTTTCTTTCGGGAGGAGATGGGAACTATATCCAGATTTTTTGTGGTGCATCTGCAATGGTGTATTGGTTTCACTTCCTCGTGCAGCTGAGGAAAAGGTGTACTGTTTCCAATAGGAAATAGAAAGAACTCTGTGTGTTGCACTTCCTAAGGTTGCCTTAGGCTGATGGGAACTGCAGCCTGGGAAGTCAGCAGTGACAAACACTTCGTATTTCTGTTACTCATGCAGCTTAGCTCTGAAATCAACTACTTGTTTGTATAGAAAATGTTTCCATTATCACTCCTCAGGCAGGAATCAGTGACAAATGGTGTAGGGAGCGCAGAGCCTGTTTTGGGTTAGGGAATGTGAAAAAATGGAGGAAATGGATTAGTGAGCTTCTCCTGTTCTGTCAGGTCCTATTCTAAATCATTTTGTTAACTCTTTTTCTGCAGTAAGCCTGCAGCTGGGTGAGCAGTAGCACCACCCAAAGCAGTCATCCAAAAGCTTGCAGTTACTGCAGAGAAATAAAGGAGGTGCCTGATTAATAATATCATTTTCTACAGGGAAAAGCTGGTTTTGCCACCTTAAGACTCAGATTTGCACTGCTTTGGCAAACACAGCGGATACTTCAAGTGTCTTAGGTATACACACAATGGTTTTTCAAGGCAAGTACAACCAAGTCAATGGGAAGGCATGAGACTGCCTGAGAGTGCTCAAAGCTTGCAGAAAATGTGTTATTTTAGTTCTTGATCATAGGTTTTGACTCTGGCTTTAGAAATAAGACCTGGTCAGCTGGAAAGCTACAACAAGCAGCAGATCTAGTGGTTTCTGACTTACTGTCAAAAAGAATAATGTGCATCCAAGCAAAAAAAAAAAAAAGTAATGTATTGGCTGGACAGTTTTCTTCCAATAGTAATTAAACAAGAATTTCTCTGTAGAAAAGTATTTTCTTTGCCTCTCACAGAAAAACAAAAGCAACTTGATCTCCTAAATGAGAAAACAACAAAGGCAAGTACCATTCCCAAGAATTTAATTCGTTTTTTGTCCTGTGTTTCCCTTGTGGCCCTTTTTTTCTCTTAGTTCTTTCTGAGCCTTTTCAATAGAAGCAAACAAAGCAATACAGGATATTGTGTTCTATTTAATTAAAAAGAGGCTCAGGACTGGTGCTACCTTATTTCTAGTGGGGACACAATAAAGAACTTGTTAATATGCAAAGGACACGGATGTGCCACCTTCCATTGCAGCTTTGCATTTCACTTTCTGATTCTGCTGCTGACAGATCTCTATCTCAGATACCCGATCAGAAGAGGCCAGCTAAGAGTGGGTTGTATTTAAGGCACAAAATCTTATTTTTTTTCCTTTCAGTCATTTTTATTCACCTTGTATGATCTAGCAATTGTAGTTATCCCCCTATTGAGGTAAAAGTGCAACACCAGACTTGAAATCACTTCCATGTGAAATATTTTCCATTTTTCCTTAGTTTGGAGTTTTCCCCCAGTGTTTGTGAGGCAGGGCTATGCAGAGTAAAACTCTTCCAAGAACTGCTTTAACACTCTGTTCTTACTTCTGTGTTTGTCCTTAAGATAATAAAGAACCACAAGTCTGTAATTGTAGCTAATTTCTGTTGTCACTTGGGTTTCAATGTTTGGGTTACAGTTACCAAGAGGCAGTCTGACATTAAAAGCCAACAGCCCAATCCCCAGCAATGAGCACAGTGAATGGCTCCAGGACAATCGCTGCCCTTGGATTTAGTGAAGCAGGGATGCAGACTGCAGAGGGTAACTCACTGCATTCAGAATGATGAGTTTGTCTTTGAAAGCAAGTCTAACTGCATTTATGTTAACTAACAGTGTGTATATGTGTGTATATAAATTAATGATTAATATTTTCTCATAGCTGGTTGAACAGCCAGGTGTGTGTAGTGTAAATAAGCTCCCAGGTGATGCACATCCAAAACAGATTAGAATCAGTAAAATCTCAAAGTTTAGAATCTCTTTCAAAACTCTTCCTCATTCTCCCTCTAAAGACAAAGATGTTTGGAATGCCATCAACCAATTATCAGACATTAGTGCTATTAGCTATAACAGGCAGTGGTTTCTGCAGTGCATTTCTGAATGCATGCTCTCTGCACAGAGCAGCTGATAAAAATGAAGTTATCTTACCTCTGTGCTGTGGAGAATGTTTTTCAGCTCCAGAGGCAGGTGGTTGTTGTGCTTTCTGCAATAGAATCAGACATTCACGTTTTCCAGCAGTCAGAAACAAACGCTTGTTCTCATTACCAGCACTGATATCCTAACAAGGCTTCTCCCCACGAAGTCCTGCTCTTGCCCAGTGCTGTGTCTACATCTCCCTCTCCTCCCTTGTACATTCCCCACACACAGGTCTGCCTGCAGACTTACCAGGGAGAATTAACTCTTTGCACCATATTAAAAATCACTTGATTTTTAATCAAGTTACTTGATTACAAATTACAGAGTTACCTCTGTAACTCTTAGATAAAGAGTTACAAATTACTTGATCTACACTGGAAAGCAGATTGTGCAGCAAACAGTACCGCTGCTATCCTTAATGGAATAACACGATTTTTAGCTTGTTAGCATTTAGAAAAGTCTCTCCTATTACAGTAATTAATTCTTTGGAAAGTTCTCAGTTTAATCTGACATGCTTTTATTCTTTCCCAAGAGATTTTCAAGCATCTGTGTTAGGAAGACTTATTCTGCAAGGCAATGTCTAATTTTCCAGTGCTGAATACTGCAATTGTGTTTCAATGACACAACCTTCTAAAATTCTATGTGTGGGAATTAAGGGATATGCTTTATTTTGCTCCACGAGAAGATGGATTGCAAACAAAATGATTTTAAGCTACTTTACTTGAAATTATTTCCATATACAGGACGGATGTAAATGTCAGCAGTAACGTTCATTGATGTGTACTGTGTGTATCTTTCAAATGAAGGAAGATATTCAGAGCAATTTAAAAAATCAGTGTGTGCAACCAGTCATGTGAATTTGAACATCATCTACATCTCACTTCAGAGACAAACTAAAAGGTGCTTTTTGATCAAACGTTGCACTTAGTTTCACCAGTACTATCCATGGGCTGAGGACCTGAATTATCAAAACGTGTAAGCATGTGTTTAACTTGCAGCATATTTCCCCTTTTTACTTTTACATCACCTCCATGCTGGGCCCAGTAGGCTGTGAAGCCAGAAGGCTGAGGATGTCCTGAGCGTGCATCCTGAGAGAGCACTTGGTGGCAGTGGCAGTGTCAGGAGCTGCGGCAGAAAGGATAGAGATATGGTCAGTGCTTTCACAGAGTAACTGCTGGAGGTGCCATACATCAGGAATGGACCCTGGCTCCATTCACAGAGGTGCCTGACTGCCCTCTGGCCAAGGGCCTGCACTCCAGCTGCACCTCTGTGGTGAGAGCTGCCCTTTGGGTCCTGGGAGGCACAGCCAGCACGCAGACAGTACTGCACAGCAAAGAGCCTGGGGCTGAAACCCAGGCAGTGTCACGGCTATAAGAAAGTACCAAAATGTTCATACTCTTTTCCTTGCCATTATCTACAAAGAAAACACAAAATCTGTTCCTGTGGGGTGCCCTGGATGCCTTCTTGTTCCCACTGAGGGCTGAGGCTCTGAATTTACTGGTGCCAGAGAGCTGTGCGAATAGGCAAGGAGGTGTGCAACATCAGAGAGAACACAGGGCTGATCTCAGCTAGCATCACTGACTGGGGAATGGGCTTGCTGAGAATCTATTGCTCTTCTGCAATAGCATGTCATCTTCGAAGTATTTCGTACCCAGAATTAAGAGATATAGACAAGTATCTGAAAATAAAGTATTATCCCCATTATACAGATGGAACAATCACATAAAGAATCAAAAATCAAGATTAGATTAATAGCTGCTGATGCCAGAGGAGCCATTGTGTCTTGTCTGACATGTGGCAAAAAACAGAGCAAAGAATTTCACACAAATTAGTCCATTAAATCTATAATCTCTGAGCCTAGAATAAGAACTGTAGAGCTGTCATAAAGATGCTGTGCCATCTTTAGATGCGTTGCCTCCAGGGCACTGAGCATACATCGTATTTCTCGTGTGAGGATCTCTGGAAGTGCGAATGGTTCAGCATTTGTAAGGTCAGAGCCTTCACTGGTGAAGTCTTACGTGCACTGCTGTTTGTGTGTAATACATCACAGAGAACAGCAACACAATCAACTTCAGAAATCTTACTGATACAGGGGGTACTCAGCTGGCTGAGAACAGAAGTCAGTGCAGAAACAGAACAGTTTCTTAGCAGAATGTGATGGAAGGGGAAGGCAATTCTAGGGGAAGCTCCTGGGGGAACCTGAGTCACATTTTGTAGGTAGGAACAGACTTAAGCACGTGCTTAAAAGGAGTGTGGAATCAGGTTTTGGATGCAGCCCATTAAAAGTTAGAGTCAGATTGAAGTTTCCTTGCTGGGAAGTGGTTTGAGTCTTTCCAAAATGACACAGTCTATTCTAAACTGTCAGTTCTACGGCATTTCCTTCTACATCCCTACTTAATGTGTGTTTTATATTGCAGTTCATCAGTCAGGTTTATTAGCACACTTAATTGGATCACATTAGCTGGCATTTTAGCTATCCAAAACAGTTGAGAAGGCAATCAATTAAAACATCCAAACACATTAATGATGTAGACAGAGGGTAATTTATGTAGATGGCTAATTACCTGTTTTCTTCAGTAAATAGGTTTTATTGCCCAGAATGCATGAGCAGAAAAGAAACAGCACTACAAAAATATTGTTGGCCAAGTTGCAAAAGAAAGAAAGCAAATGGTGAAGTACAAATGTTTCTGTTGTTCAAACTGTATTAAAGGAACTCCACTGTTACCAGCACACAGATGTTCTCAGTACTGTAATATTTTAACGCGATTTTTAGAGAATATACTGAGTGTATTACCAGGGTTTGAATGTCTTATAATATGACATCTGAGGTTTCTAAGCAATCAAGATGCTCCATAAAATGGTCATTTTAAGCGAGAAGATAATAATCAGTCTGCTTCTCATTTCATCCACTACTGATCTGGAGCTAAAGATGTGGCTCCCTTGTGAGCTCAGGGCCCTGCACACCGTGCTGGGTGGCACTGCCTGCTGTGCTCCCTGGGATCAGGAATACTCAGTGCTGACCTGGAGATGGAAGTACAACTGAGGGGCATAACAAAAGGCAGAACAGGAATGGAATGGAATCCTTATCATTCTCCTGCTTCCTGCTCACTCCTACTCCCCCTCTGGCTTTACGGCTAAATTTTTTCATTTACTGTGAGGCAGTTCAGGAATAAAACACGTAAACTTGTTATCAGATACTGTTCTTAATTTCCTTTCCAATCTGTGGGGAAATTCTTATGTCAGTTCATTCTTTCTAACTCTTGATTTTCTTGGAACCACGCAGGGAACATATAAAAACAAAAATGACTGCGTTGAATGGTGAGACACTTAGATTCACTGCTAGTTTGGCAAGGTAGACTTGGCCTGTCCTCACCTCTTCTCAACTGTTGGATGCCACAGACAGTGATGCCACCCTGCATCTGTCTTCTACCCTCCGGGCATCTCAGTGACCACTTAAACCTCTGGTCCTGTTCCCGGAGTGGCAGAGATGCACCTTCCCATTGGCATCCTACAGAATACGAAGCACTTGTGGCTGGAAGCCACATCAGGTGCAGGAGAATAGAGGAGGAGCATCTTGAAGCCCACAGCTCCAGAGCACTGTGCCTTCTAAGTAACGAGCTGCCTTCCCTAAGGGGTCATTAAGAAACAGCTGATGGAAACAACAGATTCTGACATGCACTAGTTGAGCTGACATATGACTGAAAGCCAAGACACCAAAGGCAGGCAGCATTACAATGCCAGGGATAATTTCATGTAAGCCATTAAATTAATGATGACAGTGAGTCCTCAGAGCTTGGCAAATTGGAAATTGCTCGAAGCAAAAGCAGTACAACGATAACACAGTTAATCTTCCACAGAGAAATGATAGTAAAAGGAATGGCTTTTAGATTAGCTGTCATTAAAGTGGAACATCTGCCTCTGCAAGTCAAGTGGACTGTCCTTACTTATAAACACAGGAACTCATTAAAGTTACTGGGTTTGTGTGGCTGTGAGCCAGAGCCACATTTCCACCACGCTGCAAGTCCTGGAAGCTCGGCGGATTACACTGCAAGTCAGGAAGATGACTTCCCAGGCAATAGAGGTACAAAGATACACGTGATCCATCATTCGTGGGTTTAGATTCTCCCAGTACCTGGGAGCACATCAGTGACTGAAATTACAGAAATAATGAGTATAATATGAGTTCAAAGAAAAAAATATTTTATAGTCAGGAAAGTTTTGTTTAGCTCTGCCTGAGCTCTGAGAAAAGTTTCCATTTGAATATTTAACAGCAACCAATCTTCCATTATTTCTAAACTGTTCCCTGCCTGCTGGAGTGCAGCACGCAAAGTCAGGAAGCTTGCATAACAGTGTGACAAATATTCTCTCATCTGATATTCCTTTTATATTTCTATTAAAAATGTGGAATATTTATAAAGCCAGTGATGGCAAACCATCATTCGTGTAGAAACACAGTCATGTTTTCAGAGCTTTCACTGTTCATTACCAGGAGCACCAGCATACCGTAATGATGTCCTGAAGCATGCTGCACAGGAGACTTCCAACAAGCAGATGTTACAAGGGAATTTCTTTATAGCCAACTTCAGCCATCAGCTGCACGCATGGAATAAGTGACAGATCTCAAAGCGGTTGGAAACAGTTCTGTAATCTTGAAAAATTCCAGCTTCACTTTAAAGAAACACACAGCAGTGATCATTGGATAGCTGCTTCTGTCCAGTTTCTTCAGTCTGGAATTGGAAACAATATCCTGTTAGAAATGGCATGTATGTAATGAAACAGTTGTGATTCAGCTGAGTGGCCCCAGGCCCTGCTATGGGTAAAGGCAATAGATAACAATGAGGCTTACCAGCATGGAGTGGGAGGGAGATGTTTGTAGATAAATACTGATGGATTTCTGGTGCATAGCTATTGCTGGCAGGGGAGACGGGGCTAAAAGGAAGGCAGCCAAACCCAGCTCCCTAGCAAGAGCAATGCTTCTGATGACTGCTGTGATAGCTTGTTTAACAGAGCAGCAGACTGACCAGAGCCAGATTCAAGAGCAGTGATGCTATTAAGACATCTCAGGCAGTCTTCATGGACTCATTAGCACTGAGTGAAGAATCACAATTAGCCTCAGAGTTATATCAAAAGCCAGCAATGGTGGCTGGATAATAACAAATGCTGGGCACTCTGGAAGGAAGGACTCCTTCCCTAAAACTGTGGTGTGTTTTTTTTTTTTGAAAGATAATGTCTCCTGGCAAAGTGTAACAGTAGAATGGTGGAGATGTGTGAACATGTGGCATGGCATGCTTCTGGCCATTAGGTGCAAGGACTGGGCAATAGCTGAAAGAAATAGGTCACCTTTAATCCTGCCTGCTCCCCAGGAGTCCAGGAAATGAGTGTCAGAATGGGTTGTGTTGAGTGTGAAATTGTGCTAGGCATGCATAATGCAATGATGCTGCTAATCAAACCCCTCTCACTGTGACTAATCAGAAAGATCTATTTGATATTCCAAGAAATTAGTTGGAAGAGCAAGCCCACAATGGAGAAATAAAGAACAAATCAGAAGCTTGGGCACAGACAGAGATAAGGACTTTGATCACAGTAGTTTAATGTGCGCAGAAAGAGGACAAAGAAGATAAAAGAAACAAATAAAAATGCTGATGAGAACAGTTTGGATCTGCAGAGAGAAGCAGCCATTAATCTAGACCATGACTAACAGATAAGAAGTGATATGCCTTCCTGGTGCTTGAAGAAATAGCAGTTTTAGGCTATTCAGGCTGAAAACAATTTCTTCCACCGTGCAACTCTATAGCAATCTTTCAGGGCTGAATTTGGCCCCTGTCTTTAAAGAAAAAAATGCTACAGGGGCACTGAATGCAGACTGTTCGAAGTGACAGAATAGAGCATGCCAAAGAAAAACCCCAAACTTCCTCACTTGGGCCACTGGATGGAATATTAAGAACTGCATCATCCTCCCTGTTCTTTCCATGACCACCAGGTGATCTGAGGAAGGCTGTTCCCCAGTTCTGTTTTCCTTAACAAAAGAAGCATGAAAAGTTTTGGGTGTAAAAGGAAAGGGAAGAAAACCAAATATCCTATTTATACATAATGTAAAGACTGGGATTTTTAAGAATATCTCAGTGACTGGGAATTACAGACTAAAATTCAGAAAGTTGGAACTGCTTCTCTCAGCAGAGAGGCTGTTAATCCAGTGGTCTATTGTCTGCTCTTTTTGATTCCAACCTTAGAAACCTTCCTATAGCATTTTGATGTCAATTAGGAGCAAGAAGTGCTCATCAATGTCACCAGGATTAGAACCAGAGTAACTTTTCTTGGCTTTGAAAGAGAAAGAAACCCATTCTTACCTGTAGCATAGCTGCCTCTGTCCCCCAGAAAACAGAGTGCTAGGTTGGATGTTTCATCTCTCTTGGATCTCATCCTTCATTTTACCTTATAGTGCTGCCCCCACTCCCTTATATTGCTGCTGATTATTGCAGTTCCATCAGAAAATGGCACCTGTTCCAATCAGGACGGGGTGGCTGAGCGGTGTAACACAGGATGCTTCACAAACTTACAAACACATTACAAATGTTACTTTCAGGTGACCTTTTTGGCTCACAAAATAAAGCTATTTAGCTCAACAGTGTGCGTGAAAGCTAATCAAATAAATAGCAAGGAAATACGCAATCATTTCATAAACTGCAAGCTATTGGAGTGTTTTCCTCCACTGTGGCCAGAACCAATGTGGTATGCAATTAATTAGTCAGGTTAGCTAGATATTCCTCACAAAGCAGAGCTTACTTTCTTCCCCAGTGATTGTAAAGAATATTGAATAATGCCATTTGCCTTGTTCTTATTAGCTCTGTTGGTCAGTTTTGTTTCACTCTGATATTATTTACTTCTAGTCTTGCTGTGCCACGTTCAGTGCCGTGATCCACTGCATAATTATCATGAGCATCTTGTCCTTGCCTTATTCTTGCAGCCTCACAAACAAGAAAACAGTCAGCCACAGGCAGATCCCCACAGATACATTAATGTATGCTACAGCCTGATGCCTCTCGCTTGAGTCTTGTTTTCAGCTTCTTAAGGTCGGGATTATTTTGATCAATTTTAAGGCCATAATCTGTGATTTTCCAGGCCTCTTCATAATGCTGCATTTCAAAATTGCTTTGTGCAATCTTATGAAAAGTTTTTGCTACGTTTTCACTACCAGAGCCATTCATGATGCTGCACAGTGCCGTGGATTCATCCAATTGCAGTGCTTCAACATACTGTTTGACTGCTGCCTCTTCCTGTGACACTGACAACAGCAGGTGTCCTTTTGAGCAGTGGTCCTGAACTCGTGTTCTCAGGCTGTTACAGCCATGCTTCTCGATCACTTTCTCCATATCTTTTAAAGCTTTGTCATATTTTTTGAGGTGCATAAAGCAAGCAGCCCTCTGTCGGAGGTATCTTGGTTTATCTTTGCTTGTCAAGATAGCCAGGGTAAAGTAACCGAGAGCCTTCTTATAATGACAGCCTTTAATCAGAACATTTCCTTCTTGGGCTGCTACCTACAGGACATAAAGTTAGTTAATATTAGAAGAGCAGTAGCGGGGAAGTAAATTAACCAATCCAGCCTGGCCACACATATGGTAACCTAGGAAACGTCTTTCAACTTTTTCAACTGCTGAAATTGCATCTAGTTGGAGAAATGTACAATTGGCAGATATAAAAACCAATCAGGCAACGGACACTTGCTGTTATCTCAAGGGTTGCTGAACCAGATCCCTTGTTTCTGCATGTGCTGCTAAAACCTGCTCAGAACATTGCCTCTGAAGTTGTTTACGTCCTTAAGAAATGGTATGTGAACTGAAAACAGAATGGAGCTAACTAAAACTAGGCAGCATTCTGTTCATGAAAGCACATTTCTGCCATCTTTTCCAACAGGTAAGGAAATGGAGTGTTCTGGTCGATAGTGTCAGCCCCACAGACATTTGCATGAACTAATTAGTGAAGATTGGTCTCTTCTGATAAGTGTCCCAAAGCTACAGGAAACAAACCAACTGGTGGCTGTGTTGATCTCCATTAGTGAACTATCTGCCCTTATCTTAAGGGAAAAACAACATGAAAATAGAGAAGGCTGAAAGCCACATAATTTTTAGTCTTATAAAGGTCAATAAAAAAAACTCCATTAGACCTATTTGCCTCAAATGGATGTCTCATTATCTCTCTTTATTGGCAATAAACAAAGCTTTTAACATGCTACAGCAGAGTATTTAAGTTATAAACAAGGCTGCCACCAGCAGCTTTGGTCGTACAGAAGGCTGAGCCAAACAACAAGCTGAGATGCGAAGCACAGGATAAACATTTTCATCAGCCTGATTCCACGGGATGTCACACATCTGGGATGCTTGTAGCTACTGAAAATTCAGTTAGCTCAGCCACTGCCTCAGCAGCTATGCTTGAGCAGTCTCTAAAAGCCACACATGACATGGCACAGGTCCTCTTCCAGTCTGCCTGTGTGTCTTGGCTCTGTTTGCTGCTTAGATTGAACTGCTTGCTGTTTAATGCAAGTTAGGAAAACAGGTTAACACTTTTATTCCTAGAAATTCTAAAGTTCTGGATCACATTGCTCTGAAGAACAATGCTGTGTTGTGGGCAGACCATACAGATTTTGAGATCATTTCTATAGGAGTGAGTTCTGGACATCCCTGGGCAAGGAGCTGGCAATCAGCCACACATGTAACTTCTGACATAGGAAACTGAAGGGCTGAAGCTACACTAGGAGCAAGCAAACTCCCTTCCTCTGACCTTTTGCATTTTAAGAAACCTTTGAGATTCCTATTCCCATGTGGCTTCCCCAGTTGTTTACAGATTCCTTAGCATGGGACCCTTTGCACTATAAATAATAAAAGAATGTCATTACTTTGTTTTTCATGAAAAAAAAAAGTAGTACATCAAGAAGCTTTCCTCGCTCCACCCTTTCCTGTGCAGCTCACGTAGAGTTATTTCCAGCTTTCCAGACCAGACTCCAGGATAACAGGATAGCTACAACTGTTTAACATAACAGTAACAAATTGTTCTGGTCCCCATGAGTACGTATTGTATGTATGTATTGTATGAGTTTGTATGTATGATCACCAGGATAGGTGATTTATTTCTGGAATACCTTTAATCCCCAAGCAATGCTCTGCTAGACAAAGACTGGGTAAACCCCTGACCTCTTCATTTCAGTCTCCTCATTTGAGAAGTGGAGGTATCAGAAAGAACGCCCTCCCTCTGCAGTGTAGTTAGGAGCCACTGCATAGTGAGACCAAAATGGTTTTCTTTACACAGATTCTCTCTAAAAGCCTTTCTGACTTTTCTGAGACCTTCCTTTCAAACACAAACTGGAATAACATTGTGGGCAGAAGAAAGTACTGTCGGAAAGATCCTTTGTGATACTGTGCAGGTAAATTAACTGCTTCCTTCCTCACCTAAGCAAAGTAGATATTTGTCCACTTGTCACAAAATACACAGCAAAAAACCCCAACCATTTCTGGGCTAATCCGCAGTAAAAGTTATCATGCTCCATAAATCTTTGCAGATTGCAGAACAGAGAAAGATCCCAGGTTCTTGAGCCCAAATGTTTACTTGATTTGCACAAAAAAACCTGAGATAATAGATGAAAAAAATATAGATCTTATTTGATTTCCACCACAGGCGTTGAGTTCCAATCTCGAAATCAATCCAGCCACCTTCATTCTTGGAAGTGGCAGAGAAATCTGTTGTGATAAATAAGCACCAGTAAGGGGTTCAGCTCCAGCCTTTGTTCCAGAGCTGAAAGAAAGAGGCAGAAATAAATAAAGTGCCTCTCCCCCTTTAAAGGATTCACTCATCTGTGCCATCAGTTGAAACTACAGGAATTCATTTCTTTCAGACTGATAGCATCACAATCCCTCCTGCACTGGCTCAGAAGGCAGCACGGATGGGCTCAGCTGTGAGACCTCTATACAGTAAGAGTGATGTGGCAGCAAGGGAAATTTAGCTGTAAAACTTATCTTCATGTATAGATTCCTCCTTAGGGCCCTCATAGACACATTCTTGATTGTACCTTTACCAGCTTTATGTAGTGAAAGATTGTAAATTGGCTCTAAAATCTCCAAACTCTTCCCCAGAAGACTGAACTTTCTCCATTATTCAGGAGAGAGGGGCTCTTTTCTCTGTAATGGGGTATATCTAGGGACTGGTAAATTAATACTTGTTTACTTATATCCTCCTGCTGTTTTGCTAAAATACATACAAAGCACTCCTCTCTAGATGCATTTAGTTTATCAGCATGTTGTTTGTTTTATAACCTGGGAGAAAACATAACAATATAGTTCTCACCAGGGCACACTCAATCTACAAATTGAATAAAAGGAAGCAAACTGATTCTCAGAACACAGAGCTTCTGGGTAATCAGAATTGCAGATGCATGAGTGAATGTTAAAGCTCCTCACCATCAATCCGACCTTGTCCTGTCTTGTTACTGGAGATGCTCTCTCAGAGCTGAATGCAATTTGGGAGAGAAACTTAAAACAACAGTGAAAAATACATACTCAGGGGGACCAGAACAATTTGTTATTGTTATGTTAAACAGTTGTAGCTAAGAAAACCAAAACCAAATCTCTCCAACCTCAAAGACTAGTCATTTTAAAAAATGTGAGTATATTTAAAATGCTAAAGATTGCATTAAAGGTTTGAAGCATTATATGTGATTGAATCAGAACCTTTCGTTTCATTTTAGAAGGAAAATGAACAAAACCATAGCCAGCTCTGAGCACCATATAACTCACTGAGAGTATAATATGAGCAATGATCTCATTAAATCTCTAGCTCCTCCTCACCATCCCCTGCATTTTAACAGTGGGAATAAACAGGTTGTATGCTAGAGAGCCCAACAATAAATTCCCCACATGGCATGAATTATTAGAGACTGAAGCAATGAAAGAAATTGAATCCAAAGTCTCTAATCTCAGATTGGCTGGAGTTGAAGGATGGAGGAAGAACCCACTTTATTTCTCATTCTTCTGATGATGATGTCTTCCTGCATACTTCTGTTCAGGACAACACCACAAACATCTCCAATCTCCTGATTTTTCTTCCCATTTATTTTCCCCCTGAATCTACAGATGTGGCCATCAAAAAAGGATTGTACCTGAGAGAGATGCTGCTGTTGCTTAGCATCTACAAAGTTCAGGAGGAACTCCAGCTCCCTTTCATCTTTCTTAGCTAGGATGCTGAATGAGTGAGCTGCCGCTGCCACGTTCCTCTTCTTCAGCTGCAACACAGCCAGTCTTGCACTAGCAACCTCATCAGCAAAGGAGTGCCCAAATGCCTCCTGAAGGTGAACAAGGGCCTCTTCATACCTTCCTGTTGGTTAACACCAGTACAGGCTATATAACCCACTTCATGTGGAGAAAGCAACATCAATAAAACTTACTAAAGCACACTGTGCACGGTTCATACCTAGGAGCATTAATTACTGCACATCCTCCCCCAAAACTTTTGCAAGCTTCTCTTGAAAACTACCATACAACAGACATCTTGTACTGTTGCTACATAACATTTACTTTTTATCAATTTTTGAATCATCTGTTCACTTGTTATGACTAGCTGTGCAAAAGAACTGGTACTCACCATTTGCAATCAAAACATCCGTATAGAAGGTGTGATACTGTGCTTCCTTGCGAATTTTTATTAGTGCTCCTGCAATCACAAGAAGGTCTCTGAGGGTTCTTTCTTCCTTTGAAAAGTCTTTGGTAGCAACAAGCTCAGCTAACACAGTTCTGCTGTGCTGAAGGAGCCACTGAGCGACCAACTCCTGGGCTTCGTGCTTTAGAGACAGGATTGCTGGGATTACCATTCCTGCCTCTGCCTTCAGCGCCAAGATCAAATCTTGCACTGCCTCCTATGTAGAAATGAGACCAAAAATGAAGTGGTAACAATACCTACATATTGGTATGTATTTTTTTTCTAATATTTCCAGTTCTCAGCTGCATTTAAGCATGCAAAACAACCAATAAAACCCGTTCATTACTGCAAATTTCTGCTATCTCAAAAAGCAAACTGGCAGGCAGGTGTGCATTGATTGGATAAGGGAGGGCACATTTCTCTCCCTCCACTTCCCTCTGTCCTTAGGTGAATACAGACACATAAATGATAGGAGGTGCAAAAGTTCTAAGAACAGAATTGTTAATTGTTCCACTCTGGCAAGGAGAATCAGATCTGGCATCATTGCATTCCCCAGACTTTCCATCTAGCTTGTGTTAGGGGAATGAAGATTGATGATTGTGCTGAAGTCCAGACAGCAGTTGTTTTTGCAGTCAGACAGTTCCAAGCAGCAATTAAAATTCATCATTTTACACAGTGATAACACTGTCTCAGACTTTCCTTGCAGCCACGAGCAATGTAAATGTACTGTTCAGACCATTTTACACAAAGATGAGTTTTGCCCATTGGTTCGCATCTGACTGTGATAAACCTTTCTTGGTCATAAACTATCTCACACTTTACAGAACAGCTGCCAACCTAAAATACGGAGTGAATAAATTCAACCCAGTCACATCAGCTCGAGATGCTACATCTCATCTGACACAAAAGTGCGACACGAAAATGTGAGCTCAGATACAAGGGAAAGTTTGCAGCATTGCAGAACAACGTATTGAACGTATTGTAGTGATGGTGAATATGGTAGGACTGAGGTTTAGTCTCCTTCTCTCTAGATTTGGGAAAGCAACTCAGTTATGTCAAGTGGGCTGATTACACAAACAGCCAAAAGCAGAGCCGTCACCAGGCAAATTCTTTGAGAAACTCTTCCCTTCAGTGAGTCCATGGCAAAGACTGGGTATTTTGTGCTAACGTTACACTACCAGAAAATTGACCAGCAAATTAATAGTGATACCTTTTGCTGCTTTAGAGCAAGGTAAATTAATCCTCGCCCACTGAGAGCATGCACATTGCCAGGGTCCTCTTTTAAGACGGCATTAAAATCAAAAATAGCAGTTTTCTTCTGACCGAGGTGCCCGTAGCATTGAGCCCTGATGAGGAGGCAATCTTCAGCATAGCCACCTGGAAGAGAGAAATGCAGTCATGCTTACTTTAAAGATCTCAAGCCTACTGATCTAAAGTAGGGTGCAGTAAAGTTCCACTGTGTGCAGATGACTGAGCTCCACCAAAAGGCTTCAAAGTGAAAATGATGTGGTAGATTTATATGCTGTGGAAAGTACGGGTTGTTTTGGCTAAGACAGCAATCCAGATGGGACTGTCTAATTGACTGCCACATTAATGTGCACTGGAATTTGTGATACTAAAATTCTTTGTTTCTGCTTTAAAATACATGCTGCCCAAATGAAAAATACAGTCAGCGATGAAAAGTATGGTCCATTCATCCACTGTGTGCAGAGCATAAATCCTTCCCCTGTCCATACAGCCCTTCCTTTCAAGCCAATTTTGATCAGGATCTTAATTTGCCTAGAGTTGCAGTCAATAACTGTGTCATCCCAATACTGGATTATAAATTATCAGTGCCACTGTAAATATATTTTATTGGGCAAATGCAGCATCTTGCACAGCTGCCTGCAGAGATGAGCCAGCAGACAGACCCCTAGCAATTATTTTACAGTAATGAGGCTTTTTCTCTCTCCTGATATGCTCCAAAACTTCTGTACCAAAAGTTATTATCTGTCTGGAGCCCTATCAATTGGCTCCCATAAAGACAATGTCTATTTCTTAACAAGCATCTGCTCTACCAGGTGGGGGGTTGATAAGCTGGAATGTACAGGCTGTGAAATGGAACCATATCAAAGCAATTAACAGTTTTCCATTTTCATAAACCACTCTCTCTTCTTCTCAATGCTACTGTCATAACATTTTCTCTGGGTGAAAAGCAGATTTCCATACAAACATGGTTTTGCCTGGAATGTGCCAGAAGCATTTCCATATCAGCCTCATGACTCTCTTGAGGAAAAGCTGGGATAATGATCCATGTAAGTGGGTGCATTTATTCTTTTGCATTGGAAGCACACAGTCACAGGTACGTTGGAACTGGAAGGCAGGTTACTTGCTTCAGTGATTATATTTACATGATGTTCATTATGAGGAATGGGAGGTCCCAAGTAAATGCTATTGGTAGGAAGGTTTGCAGAGTATTAGCTGATGTAACAAAGGCTAACTCAGGACCCTTCTGCCTTGAAGCTGCCAGTTGAAAATAGTGAAAGCTGAACCTTTTTCAGTAGCCCTTTCAATTTGCTTACTTGCAATTTTCGAGGAAAAGTACATTTTTAGATAACAGGATCCCAAATTTCTCTTCACATTACCAGCTTTCTGGCTCACTTCAGTTACCTCTGTGCAGTTACTCATTGAAAATCAATCACCCACTGATCTGATTTCCCACAGAGGTAAATCTCCTATCCATATCTTTATAATCTTACCTGAAGCAATGATGGCAAAAGAAAGATAGGCAATGGCCTCTTTTATGTCAGCATCTTCCCGTTTGTTCTTCAGGATGCTCAGTGCCCTGGAACGGCAGTGAGTTTGCATCAGCTTCCTGTCTTCATCCTTGAAAATGTCCATGATTGGCAGGAGGCAGGAGGTATCCCCAATTTTGATCACTTTCTTTAGCAGCTTAACAGTGTGAGAGAAAAAGATAGGAGAGACAAGCATGGAAAGATAAATGAAGTAAAGAACTGCTAAAGCTGGAAATATTACTGTCTAGTGAGACAAGCCTGCTCTCTCTCAGTGCTTCTCATGTTGTGCCAGCCACGGTCCACCCAGAGACCATGAATCTTCTCTACCTACCTCCTCAGCTGGCCCTAGAGTAACAGCATGCTGGGAAAAAAGCACATCTCTTATCTTTTCTTATCACCTCTGTAGCTGTGGCAGTCATCTTAGTGGGTGCACTACTCTTGCATCAGTTACTTTGAGCAGAATCAGCAGACAAGCAGGTGGCACAGAAACATCTTAAAGAGAAATTTTTGGTGACATATATTCATTCCATCTAGAAGTTGCAGCAGAAAGCTGCAGAGAGGAATCCAGCTTCCAAGGGCTACTTACTGACTCTAGTAAAGTCATGTCAGTCATTAATAGTTTTCTTTCAAAGGCAGCAAATTATATTTTATTTAGTATATTTTTTCACAGAAATTGATGGCAACAAAACCTGAGAACATTGTAGCTGAAAGTCTATATGGGATTTTAAAAAATGCAATAGTTCCCTCTGATGGTGGGACCTGGTAATTCAACTTAGGAATGATTGGAGAATCAACCTGTGGGCATCTCTTCCATGGTTTAAAGCAAAACTTGCTAGCCACATTCACCATACCATCATTGCTGAGTTGCAGCCAGGTGCTCCCTACCTGATTGCCATCATACATGAAACCTTTCTTTAATTGCAGCAGTGCGAGTCTGGCCAGGACGGGAGATCTTTGTGGATTTGTGGAGAGTGCTAATGAGAGCAGCTTGTGAGCTTCTTCTACCCAGCCCATCTGGTACAGAGCATCGGCACAAAGGATCCGTGATGCCTCATCAGAAGGGTCCAGTTCCATCAGGAGAGAAGCCAGCTGGTAAACCCCGAGGGCATCCCTGTAGAAAAAAAAAGAAGAAAGAAAAAAAAAAAAGAAAAAAGACAACTTTCAGGTAAAATGCTAATAATAATAATGGAACCCCTGCGTCTCATCTGCAAGCTGAGATATAAGTCAGTATCAAATGGATGATGTGTTCTGCCATAGCTAGCACCACAGAAATCTCTGTCACTTAATTCTATAATCATTATCCTTTATGAAAACATGTTCCTAAGCAGCTGTGGGTCTAAAGGAAGGTTAACAACATGTGCTTCATACCTGTGGTTGCGGTGATACCACAATGGGAAAACAAAATGTAACAGTGATAGTGGGAAAAAATAAAGTGTTGTTTCTACTGAAGAACCATGTGCTAAAATTTGCATGGACTCAAAAGAACTGTGTTAATGGGTTCCTGAAGCAGTGACCTGTGTCTGAGAGGGCCTGTGTTTATGTCCTGATCTACCAAGTGCAACACTGAGTTGGCATGTTCTTCTGTGCTTCAGTTACAGCCCTGAGCACTGGCTGTGAAATGTGTAACAAAAATGCACTCCCTGCTACCCAAGTTCAGCTGTGTTTGTTTTTCTGTCTACAGGCTGAACTGCCTCCTGGGTACCTCTTCATCTGGAGCATCTTCTGTCCCTCTTCCTGGAGAACCTTTAGCAGCAATCCTCTTTGGTTCCACGGCACATAGGCCTTGATGGTGAAGATGGTTTCTTCTAGCTTTAACTGGCAAGCTGTGATGTAATCCAGGGCTGTCAAGTAATGGCTGCCACCAGAAATCCGGATAAGTCCACGCCCACATAAGGCTTTAATACAGCTGTTAGGATGAGGGGAATCATGCTCAATGACCTTTTGAAAGTCCTGCAGGGCTTGCTGATGATCATGAGAATGGAGGGCACAGAATCCTCGCAGTGCTAGCAGAGTATTGTGATAAGTTTTCTGCTCTGCTGCCAGGAGCTGGTCACAGATTTCCAAGGCACCTCTGATGTGTCCATGCAGGAGATGGCAGTCTGCCAGCCGGACTCTGAGCTCACGTTTGGACCCCGGGGAGATACGCAGGAGGAAAAGCACTGTTTGGATTACAGCAGGGAGCAGTTCAGTACAACGATTGCTTCTGAGTTCTGTCCGAGCACGCACAGCCTCCCTGTATGCTGCAAACTTCACTTCCAGGACAGTTCTAGCCTGTTCTTCTATCTTCTCAGTGTCAGGTGGTGAGAACAGCTCTTCAAAGTGCTTCATTGCCAGGTCAGGGGTTGCTGCAAAGGCTTCTGCTAAATCCTGCATCATTTCCTGCGTCCGGCCACCCAAGAAAAAATATGCAGCAGCCCGTTCCAAGAGCAGACCCAGCATTTTCTCATCTCTGAGACTATTGTCTACTGACAGTCCCTTGAGGGCCTTGCTACAAACTGCCACACACTCCTCAAATTTGCTTTTCTTAAAGAGGTAAGCTGCCTGCGCTCTGCAAACCCAGACATCACCTGGTGCCACTGCAGACAAGAAGGCGTAGCAGTTGCCCAGCCAGTGGTCCAAGGAACTGCCATCTGGGCTTTCTTTCTGATACGTTGAGAGAAAATTAGAGAAGGCCTGGATGATCTGTGGCAGATGTTCCTTTTGCCTGGTACACACATAGGCCACTGCCTCAGCCTGATGCCTCACAAACACTTGGATGTAGTCTGCAACTCCCTTTCTAATCTGTGTCCCCGACAGCACCCATGCCAACGCCCTGAGCAGCAGCAGTTCTACTGAATACTTCGGATGAGCCTTGAGCAGAACATTGCATTTGCTCACCACCTCCTCTGAGCAACCCTGCCTGAGCAGGGCCTCCATTTTATATATCGAGGACAGCACGTTGTCAGGACTTAGGGTGGAGAGAAAGACAGCAGCTACTTCCACTCTGAGCGACGCGATGGACACCTTCTTGCTCTGGATCTTGGGAATCTGGCTCTTGCCCCTGCACCACATCTCCAAGGTGGCAATCACTCTCTCCCAGAGCCCGTTCTCCAAGGAGTTCACTTTCTGCAGGGCTGTGGGAGCGCTGCAGCTGAAGGCGGCCACGTAGAAAGCCGTGGCTGCGGGCAGCTCCTGCTGGGCGAGGTGCTGATCCCCTTCTCTGCAGAGCAGCGCAGCGAGCCCCTGAGGTGACATTGCCAGCACCTGTATCCTCACCGAGGAGCGTCACAGGAGCATCTATATCAGCCTGTAAAACAAAATCGGCACGAGGGGCCGCTGAGCACAGTTTCTCCGCATTTGGGGCACGCAGCTTCCCTATGGACGAGCCAAAGCCCCGGGACGAACCGGACGTTCCAGCGGGGAGCAAAGCCACGAGAAGAAACACACAGCCCAGGTTAACAGCCCACATCCGCGCGACTGCAGCACGAGTGAGCAGGAAGGATGAGGCCGAGAGCAGCGCAGGGCTCCTCGCGGGGCGCCGGGGGTCTCGCCCTCCCTCTCACCCCCACAAGTACCTGGCAGCGGCGTTCGGCGGAGCGGCCCGCGGCTCCCGAGGCGAGGTGAGGCGGCGGGGCGGCGGGGCTGGGAGGCGTTGCCTGGAGACCGCAAACACGGCGGCAGCGGGGCGGGCCGGGCAGCCCGGGCCATCAGCCTCGTTCAGACGTTCACGTGGGGGAAAAAAAACCCTTTGTGATTAATAGAGATTTTTTGACATTTTATTAAGAGTTTGGCCGTTACTTTGATTTGATTACTTTCACTTTAATTACCCTAATTAGCTATCAAGATATAATTTAGCATTGCCGTCACATCAGGCCTCTGGTGATATCGGCAGGAAAGACTCGAGGGCATAACAAGGAACTGTTCTGAAATAGAAATCCCAGTGGAAGGAGTGGAGCTGATCGGATGTTGTGGCTCTGCCAGGAGCTGTGCCAGGCTGCACAAATCCTCACTGCCATTTGACTTCACTGCAGGCTGTGGTGCCACATTTTGCATGCAGAGAACGTGGAGGATGCTGGCGTCCTCTGTTCATTGTTTCCCTTTGAGTCCCCATTTAGTTAAGGATGTGTGTGGAGGGATGCTGGTACCGTCCGTATGAACAAGGCTGGCCGGAGAGGTGGCAGCAATGTGAGGAGATGGTTTTCTTTACTCAAGGTGCTGTACCAGGTGATATGAATGCAGCCAGATTTGTGTTATGCAGCAAACTTAAGCTCGAGTGAAGTCAGCTTTCTTCCTTCAGCCCCCAAAGGGATGAGAGCAACAGCATCGGTATGAACTCGAAGATGATGGGCTTTCCTGGCGGGAAGGGCTGTGGCCTGGCACAATGTGTGAGCAGTGTGGGTGGGTGCTGCTGTGAAAGCCCTCGGTACAGGTGGCAATGCAGCTTACAGATCCTGGCTCCTCATGGTTTTCATGATTCAGCAGCCAATTTGCTGCCTGTCCTATGGGGCAGATATGGCAAGCTCTGTTTCTAGGATCATTAAAAAAAATGCGAGAGAAGAAGGAAAAAAGCATGGACGTGTTTATCTAAACATTCATTAAATATTAAGTTTGCTACACAGTCGTTAAATATTAAGTACAATACAATAGCTCCTCATGATGTCTCTGACTGGTGATTAATTTTTAAAGGGAGCTGAGTGGGAAGGGATTAAAGGCACCACAAGTGGCTTTGCAAAGCAGGAGATGCACTGACACACTGCAGTAACTCTTTTCAAGGGGAGCTGGCTGAGAAATCTTGTACTTCTTTGAAGGGTTCTCAGTGCCTGCAGCGCATGTAATGAGCCTTCCCCTGAGAGCTTTTAAATCAGTCAGCTGGGACTGCAGGTGAGAAACCAGAAATGCACAAAATGCTGCTTAGAAAATGAACCATCTCTGATGGGAGGAGTGTGATGGGGTGGGCATTAACAACTCAAAAGCAGGGAAAAAACTTGGTAGATTTTCCTGAGTAACATTCTTGAAAAGCACTCTTCTCTCTTGGTATGTTGGTTGGAGAGCAGGCACCAAAGTCTGCTCTCATTTAGCCTGGTGTAAGTAAGCATAGGGTAGGGAATGAGGATGACTTGTACTAAATTATACAGGCTGGGCAACTGAATGCCCACAGCACTGAAGTCAAGAAGCTCTCTGCTGATTTACTAAGCTGTTAAGCTGCCCGATGAAATTTCATCCCTATACATATTTAGTTCCACAGCCGCAGTCTGCCAGGAGCATTAGTCTGCTGGTAACTGCTGTCAAACAAAGTTGGGATATTGTCTTGTGGAGGAAATCTGCACTCCTGGCATTGTATCCCCATGACAGCTGCTGCTGCTGTTCCTTTGTCTTAGAGGTCTCTGTTTGTAATCTGCTGTTTTAAACTTTGTTATTGACAGATCTGCTTCCTAACGCTGTCTGGTACAAACGTACCCCAAACCTTTCTTTTTGGGATGTTCAAGTTCTCAGTCTGCTATGGGTTGCTTTTGATGCTATGATAGCCTGCTGGTAGGTCAAACCTTTGAGTCCTGGATAATCACAGAAATAGAACACATCCTGGGAAAACCATAAGGAGATTAAACTGATGGTTGTAAAGAACTTTGAAAAACATGGGTGAAAAGTGGTGTGTGTCACAGGAGAAGTTTTAATCTTTACGGCCCAACCCAGTTACTCTGGATCTTGATGGATTTTGTAAAATGTGGCTTTACTCAAGCTTCTCAGTAAGGCCTCGAAGAGGTGATGGTCTTAAATCTTCCCTTGGCTTTGCAGTGCATAACTATAGATGTTTTGATACAATAAGCATCCTGCATACCTGTGCCTGCATACCTTTATGCACTCAGAAAGCCAGCATGATATCCTTCTGCACCGGGCTATTTTCATCTGTTTCCCCCAACAAGAACAACAGTGCAGAGGGCTGCAGGCTCCCTGATGGAGAGCAGGATTAAGATGCACTTGAACAAGATTATAAGATAAGAGTTGTCACTCCATTAGAGAAAGCAATAATCCTTTTGTTTATATTCTAGAGATTAAAGCAGCAACAGCACAAAACCCCCAAAGGTCACCACACACATGCTTTGCTCTCGGTTATTTTCTGTAATTTAACTGTGGGATTCAGCAGCGCAGTTGCATAAATTAGTTAATTCTCCAACTCCTTGCTCTGGTAGTAAGACGGATCTGTTTACTCTGGAGACAAATAGGTGTGCTTGAAATTGAACAAAGGCCCTCGAAGGGAACGAAGTGTTTCCAGGGAGTATTAATAGCTAGGAAGTAACGGTGTTTCTTGGCTGCTGAATCCACGTGTGTTTCTTGAGCGCCTGGGAAGCGTTCTGCAAGGCTTCTGTTCTCCCTGTCTGTGCTGCCATAGGTGCAATGTACATGCCTCTTGGCAGTAATTACCTCTAATAAGCTTGTGTTCAATTGAAAAGCAACTGTCTTGGCTGATAAGGACAAGCCAAACTTTTCTGACACTTGAGAAGGAAGAACTCCATTCAGGTATGAGCAGATGCTGCCTGTGGGTCCACATCCAGAGTGTGCACACCGAGTGTCCCCCTGTATGAAGCACTGTGCTGCCCTGAGGTTTGTGAGTCAACATCCATCTGCCTCTCTGATGCCACATCCTCTGATAAAAGACTCAAGTCTAATAGTTTTTACCTGAAATTTCCTGTGCTGAGCTGTTTCAATAGCATTGCACAGCCAAACTTCGCAAGTACAAGATTTTCTAGATGGAAACTGCTGAAATCAATGTCAGTTGCACCACATGTAACTGGGGAGCAAGACTAACATCTAAATAGCAAAATATTTTGGCATACTGGGTTTTCCATCTCTTCCGACCCAGCATTTAGACAGTCTGACATCTCAGCTCACTCAGCAAGGAAGCTGCTGGGACAGGCTGGGGCACACCTGAACAAATGGCTGGTGCAGAACGGCCATCATCAGGTTTTGTTTCTGTGCTGGTTGTTTGCTGCTTGTTTGGAATGTAAGCTGCTCAGGCTGAGGGTGGTGCTGGCACGATGAGCATGATGGGCTGCATCTCTGCAGAGATCTCCCAGCACGGACAGAATGTGAGGAATAACAAACAGTGAGGTATTAAATAAAGGAGGCTGTTGCAGCATCATGGTAGGTGTCCTGCCAACTTGTGTTATGCACACAATGGTAACCAGCCTGCTTTTTCTCCTCTGTTAGTATTGAAACTGACTGCTTTTGTTTCCTCTTGTTCCTTCCCTACTTGACAAGCAAATGGGGATAAGAACACATTGTTAAGGGATAAGTTATTTGGCTGCACTAAGTTTCTAAATCATATTGGTTTGAACTAAGTTCATCAACCAGGCATGGAAACATTAATCACCCAGAAAAATAACACGCAGTGAAATGACTTTTCAAAATGTCGTTGGTATAATTATCATCTTGGCCATTACATTAAATGCCACCATTTATAACTGTTACGTTTAAGTATGCAAACAGTAATTAACTTGGTAATGAAATGAGGACCCCTGTGCCTCTCTTCCCTCAGCTAATTTGCATGTTAATTATCATTAGCAACCAGGGAAACAAGTTATAAACAACTTAATTAGCAGCTTAATCATTTTTACAAGAAAACGCGCTGCACTTTGATACATGAGCAGGAGTGAGATTAATGGAGGCGGGCGGCCGTGCAGCCGCTGCAGGCAGCCCAGGGACACCCAGCTGTGGGCGCACGCTGTGCTCGGCTGCCTGCGCCCTGCTCACGGGGCGCCGGCCCTGCAGAGGCTCCGTCAGCTTTGGGCAGCAGTTGCTTCTCTCTGCCATGCCTGCTTTACGTGGTGGCTTCGGGCTGCCGTTGGGCGCTCAGCCTGGCAGCGGCCCCGCGTGTGAAGTTTGGGGTTCTGCGCGTGCGCCGAAATCCTCGATGGACAAATACGCAGATGGGGCTCTCTGTGTTGCTTATACAACGGTTAAAATGTCAGTGTGGGAATTAGTCCCCATTAGTCTGCCAAGAGCACTTCTCATCTGGTCAAGAATCAATCATTTGATGAAAGGCAATAGAAATTTTGTCATAACACGAGGAGACGTCGTCTAAGGAGGTTGTGGAATGTCTGTCATCAGAGCTTTGGGGAATGGGTTAGATAAACATCTGCAGGAGGTGCTTTGGGTGCTGTGGAGCGAGCTGCAGGAGGGGGCAGAGCTGAGGGCTGAAGGCAGACGGTTTCTGTGATGTGGTTGCAGAATGACTGACGGTTACAGGGAGATGTGCAGGCTGGCAAAATCACTGCACGGCTGGCCCAAGGTCAGGCTGCCTCCCTTCCTTCCACGAGAGCCGAAGGATTCTCACTGTTAGGCTGAGTAAAGAAATACCTGCTGGGATGAAGTTAAACTCCAAGGGCGATACAGCCGTGGTGCTGCTCTCGTTGCTGGCAGTGCGATGCCCATCCTTCTGCCATGACAAGGCTTTGCCAGTAGAGGGCGCCAGCGCACTATTTGTAAGGACAAGGGCGTCCTCCAGAAACCTTGGATTTCTTATTGTCAGTGACTTGCTGGGGCCGGCACAAAAGGAGGGAGCTGCTACTTTGAGTTTGCTTGCGAAGTCCTGCTCACACAGAAGGAAGCCGTTGGGGGCACC